CTGGAACATCCAGACCTCTGGTACGGGTCTTTCCCAGCGGAGCCTGGACACAGACAGCAATCAGCTGTTTTTTATTCTATAAAAACTTTATTAAGACTCATCAGCTGACAGACAGTCCCTTTGAGTAGGACCCACCCTCTAACCAGATACCCACACCTGGATGATGTGATTGGACCTCCTGTCAAGGTGAGTCTTACCTTGATGATCAGCGGATCTTTTAACATGGACTTTCTGACCACACCCAGCCGTGGTGACATCATCCTTCTGAGGAAGAGGAGGAGCCAATGAAGAGGAACAGCTGATTCTGGACGGTTCTGCACACAACAGTGGTAGACAAGGTCATAATGATGTACATTTGGTTGAGTTGCTAGCGTCTGCAGGCAGCAGGGAGATGAACCCTGACCAATCAGTAACTGACAACAGCTGACGTTGCATTTTTAACTCGACATAGTGTGCTCGGAACCACATCATCACGGCTGGGAAAACGGGAATGCCTTTCAAATAAACTGAATTGATTTGAGTCACGCTGCGGATTTCTGGAATCGATGGTTGACGTTTTTTCCAATCTGGCCTCAGGCCATTTACAGATATGGTAGCCTCACCTTACTCACAATGCATTGTGACAGTCTCCCTCCTACAACAGCAAGGCCCCCCTAAGAGGGTGGCAGGGGAGGGAGACAGGGCCACCCCTGCTGACCACCCCACTTTCCCCCACGGAAGACCCCTGCACCTTTATCCATCCTCCGTTTGAACGTTATTTAAAGAGCAAGTGACCCCCAAATAAACTTTTTTTTGCTGATAAACTAAATAAATGAGTGTCTAATCGTGCTGCAGACACGTGTCGTCAGTCATTTGGCACTTTAGTGCATTTTAGTTAAAATTTAAATATTCTGCCTAAAACTGACAGTGTTGTGCCGTTGTCAGGTAAAAACTCTGCACTGTATTTTAATTTAAATCTGCCATCGCTATTGGCTAAGAGGTATGCTATGATGTAAACTGGTACATTATGATGTCAAAATGCTGTCGTGAGCCTGTGTGTGTGTATTTGTTAGCAGCTCCGCCCTCTCGGTCTTCCAGGCAACAGCATTTGTTGCATTTTTCAAACATGAAGTGGGATTGAAGTTAGAATCTGGTAGGGGGTGACTTGCTCTTTAATCAATACATGAATGTAAAACCCTAAAAGATATAATTAATGAGTAAATAAATAAATATTTTTCTAAATATTTTGTGCCACCATTGACTTTCCATACAGTTCTGGCGGCTATTATGCGCGTTTTGAACTTTTTCACCGCCTAGCTTGAGCGCGCGCAGTTAGCCGAGTGTTCTTTTTTGTTTGTTTCGGAACCAGAATAAATATTCCTCCGAACGAATAACACCACCCGGCTGAGTCCGAGTTCAGTCACGTTCCGCAGCTGAACCGGGCGAAGTGAGTCGCGTCTCTTATTACATTTAAACTCACCTGACTTTTATTGTTGCGCCCTCTGGGGTCTGGTCGAGCAGTTGCTATGGAAACAGAACACTGAACAGAGACGGAAGTTTAGAGGACGGAAGCCCGCTGCGTTCAGAGCAAAGTGCGGATTTCCTCCTGGTGCGTTTCTAGTTCTGATCTGTCTGTAGTAAAATATAAGGACAATTTAAAACCCACACTGAGAGCCCTTGAGACAGATTCCCTGTGTTGTAACTGCCTTCTGTCATTTTGTAAATAACATGTCTGTGTAGCTAAAACAAATGTAACCGTAAACCTGTTAAAAAAAACTCGAACAAGGCCTACGTATTCATGTCGACCTATGACGTATATATGTCGCGACACGTTTCTGTTTGAATTGCAAACAGAAACAAAGCTGGTTTATTAAAGCAGATGATTAATACCGGAGGCACACTTCTAAACTGAAGTGAGCGTTTAAGAATATAATTGACGTTTTAATTACATTTCAGTTCTTCTGTTAATTGATCTAAAGTATTTTATTTAGACTCTACGTTTGTGATGTTTTCTGTTTTCAGGAGTCTCAGCTGTCTAGAGTGAGACATCTGTCCCTCTTCTCATGTCTCCCCGAACCCAGCGCATCGGTTTCGGGACACACTCTCCGGTTTTCTGACCGTCTGTTCTCGGGTTCTGACCCAGATGATCCGTGTTTGGTTCCAGGCGGTCGCGGCCGTCCTCTGGCTCTCCTGCGGCTCCCAGGGAGGCCCGGCCCGGCTGTACTCGGAGGAAGACCCCCTAGTCATCCTGAGCGGCGGCAGCCTGAAGCCCACCGTCACGAACTCATCCACTGCCTGGCTGGTCCAGTTCTACTCGTCCTGGTGCGGACACTGCATCCAGTACTCCAGCACATGGAAGGCCCTGGCCCAGGACGTGAGAGGTACCGCTGCCCAGGCTCGGTCCCGGTCCGATGTTGCTGAGGCTGTTTACATCCATGCTGATGGGTTTAGATTCAGGACAGGCTGAGGTTCTGAGTAGGTTCGGTTCAGCGGATCCCAGAAGATCTGGTTCGTTTGCTCCTGCAGGAAGAGAAACGCGGATGAACAGCTGTTAGCTAGCTGAGGTTAGCTCATGAGCCCCGTAGTGTTGCTCAGTTCATCTATTCAACGTTTATTTAACCAGGACCGGGCCAAGACCGAACTAGTTCCAACAGGAAAAAAACTCCCGTCCACCCAGAACCCTGGGGCGTTTTGATCTGATGGTACCGATATGGGCTTATCTATTGCCGATACCGATGCTGATATGTAGGTCATGATGAGCCAGTGGTCAATATTCACTGCCGATTGTGTGAGCAGATATCAAGACATTTTCTGCCTGGTAGTAATAGCAACAGGTGATGAACCTGGCTGCCTGTGGATGTGCCTGACTTTACAGGTGCTGGCCAGTAAATTAGAATATCATCAAAAGGTTGAAAATATTTCAGTAATTCCATTCAAAACGTGAAACTTGTACATTATATTCATGCAATGCACACAGACCAATGTATTTCCGATGTTTATTACGTTTAATTTTGATATTTATAGGTGACAACCAATGAAAACATCAAATCTGGTATCTCAGAAAATTAGAATATTCTAAAGGCCAATGAAAAAATGTTTGTTTCTCTAATGTTGGCCAACTGAAAAGAATGAACATGAAAAGAATGTGCATGTATAGCACTCAATACTTAGTCGGGGCTCCTTTTGCCTCAATAACTGCAGTAATGCGGCGTGGCATGGACTCGATCAGTCTGTGGCACTGCTCAGGTGTTATGAGAGCCCAGGTTGCTCTGATAGTCGTCTTCAGCTCCTCTGCATTGTTGGGTCTAGCGTATTGCATCCTCCGCTTCACAATACCCCATAGATTTTCTATGGGGTTAAGGTCAGGCGAGTTTGCTGGCCAATCAAGGACAGGGATACCATGGTCCTTGAACCAGGTGCTGGTGGTTTTGGCACTGTGTGCAGGTGCCAAGTCCTGTTGAAAGGTGAAGTCTGCATCCCCATAAAGTTGGTCAGCAGCAGGAAGCATGAAGTGCTCTAAAACTTCCTGGTAGACGGCTGCATTGACCCTGGACCTCAGGAAACAGAGTGGGCCAACACCGGCAGATGACATGGCACCCCACACCATCACTGACGGTGGAAACTTTACACTGGACCTCATGCAACGTGGATTCTGTGCTTCTCCGCTCTTCCTCCAGACTCTGGGTCCTTGATTTCCAAAGGAAATGCAGAACTTGCTTTCATCAGAAAACATAACTTTGGACCACTCAGCATCAGTCCAGTCCTTTTTGTCCTTGGCCCAGGCGAGACGCTTCTTGCGCTGTTTCATGTTCAAGAGTGGCTTGACACACGGAATGCGACACCTGAATCCCATGTCTTTCATGAGTCTCCTCGTGGTGGTTCTTGAAGCGCTGACTCCAGCTGCAGTCCACTCTTTGTGGATCTCCCCCACATTTTTGAATGGGTTTGTCGTCACAATTCTCTGCAGGGTGCGGTTATCCCTAGAGCTTGTACACTTTTTTCTACCACATTTTTTCCGTCCCTTCGCCTGTCTGTTAATGTGCTTGGACACAGAGCTCTGCGAACAGCCAGCTTCTTTAGCAATCACCTTTTGTGTCTTGCCCTCCTTGTGCAAGGTGTCAATGATTGTCTTTTGGACAGCTGTTAAGTCAGAAGTCTTCCCCATGATTGTGGTGCCTTCAAAACAAGACTGAGGGACCTTTTAAAGGCCTTTGCAGGTGTTTTGAGTAAATCAGCTGATTAGAGTGGCAGCAGGTGTCTTCTATATTCAGCCTTTTCAGAATATTCTAATTTTTTGAGATACCAAATTTGGAGTTTTCATTAGTTGTCACTTATGAATATCAAATTTAAATGTAATGAACATTGGAAATACATTGGTCTGTGTGCATTGCATGAATATAATGTACAAGTTTCACGTTTTGAATGGAATTACTGAAATATTTTCAACCTTTTGATGATATTCTAATTTACTGGCCAGCACCTGTAAATCTGCTCTGCTGAGGAGGTAGCTTATGTGATTGAGGCAAGTCGTGGTTGAATATCATCATTTTAGTTTTTCTCATGTTTACGTGAAGGTGAAGGTTGGAGAAAGCATGTCGAAGCCCACGGATGATAAAATGTTGGCACAGCTTGTAATCACGTGTCTGCTCTGATGGAGATCCCCGTGCGACCGTGTTAGAAAGGAACTCGTGCTGCTTAATCATTTACCTTTTTATTATATCTGTAAATGTTATTCCTGCATCAGTCATTTTATGGTCAAAGTTGCTCCTAAATGGAGTTTCCAACTCTCGGTTCCCTGAACAAGGTCCCTGGGGAGGACAACTCCTGGGGTCTTCACAGTTTGGTGCCGTGACCCATACTAAAGCTGTGCTGTAAAGAGGTCAGGGCAGCATGCACACCAAAAGGAACACCCCCTCCAAAAAGAGAGATGGATTTTTTTCCAGTTTAGGTTTTGGTTCTGGTCTTGTTGATTACTGCTGAATCCGAGTCACCTGATTGGTTCGTTGTGTTCTCGTTAGACTGGCAGGATGCCGTTGGCATTGCCGTGCTGGACTGCGCTCAGGAGGGAAATTTTGACATCTGCAAAGAATTCAGCATCAAATTCTACCCCACCTTTAAGGTATCACAGATCACCTGATCTCAGCTGTCAGTCCCACCTGTGCAGTCAGGTGAGCAGGGGGCTGTTGGGTAATGACCTGCCGTGTTTCTCTGCAGTATTTTCGGGCTCACAGTCCTCCATCAGACAAAGGGACGATCTATAGAGGTGAGATTTACCTCCACCTGTTGACTCTTTGTTGTTGTACTCTGAAACTGTTAATTTCATCCTATAAATCAGTGATTGATTGTTCTGGTCTGAAGAAGCCCTAGACGTAGACTTGTGAATGTGCGTGCACATTTGTGTGTTTAGGAGCAGACAGAGAGATCCAGTCCATCCGGCAGCTAATCATCAACGTCCTCCAGAACCACACGAAGCTGGAGCGCCCTCAGCACTGCCCTCCTCTGGAGCCATACAGGTACTGGAACCAGAACCCAGTCACAGACACACAAACGGGTCAGAGGTGGGAAGGACACAAGTTGGGGCGTGGGCCGATGCAAAAACCCGACAAAGCTAGTCTGGTGTGAACGTATAATAAAGGATCGGCACATGTTCACATGAAGCACTTTAACTCATTCGCTGTCAGCGTTTCTCGCCGTTTTTACTGTTTTTTTAAAGAGTCACAGAACGTTGCGCGCTAGCATGGACGTAATTTTGGGGGGGGGGGGGGACAGGGGGGACATGCCCCCCCCCACTTTTTCCAAAGTCAAGTTTTGACCCCTGCACTTTTTACCATCCAAAAACAACATTACGCTATATTAAACTGACACTGGTTGAGCTCTAGGACCAAGCAGCAAACAACCGTTTGTGTTGAAGCCTGTTTCCCATTAGAGCATACTGTAAAGATACACCCCCCACCCCCACCCCACCCTGTGTCCCCCCCACTTCTAAAGTGAAAATTACATCCATGCGCGCTAGGATGATGTCGACGCCAAAACAACCAAAACAAAGCGGAGACTCACCTCTTACACCAGGAAGAACCCGCGCGTTTCGAGCGTTATCCGTTCTTTCATAATCCGTTGTTGAATTGTGATCGGCAGACGCTTTTCCGGTTCGCTCCCAAAACGATCTCCTAACACATGGATGTTCTGCTTCCTGATCACGTGACGTGTGACTTACAGAGGCGGAAAGAGTACTAAAATTCCCTACTTAAGTACGAGTACCAGTACTTTGATAATTTTTTACTCAAGTACAAGTAAAAGTACTTGCCTAAATTTTTACTCAAGTAAAAGTAAAAAGTATCGTAAATAAAATGTACTCAAAGTAAAAGTAACTTAGTTACATTTTTGTCAGCGTAAAGATGGTTACACCAGTGCAAAACCACAACACCAGTTCACAACACGCTCGTGTGTGCACGTACGCACACGGACACACACACACACACACACGCACACACACACAGTTTGATGGAAGGATTTCTATCTTATGCAGATCGGCTTCAGAGCTGAGATGTTTGTTCTCTCGGCGCAGGGGCTCGTCCGACGCCCAAACCGTAAAAAAAAATGCAAATGATGACTTTAATCGTCATTGGCGGTGAATGAGTTAATATTTCCGGCCTTTCCTACATTTGGAATGCTGACCGCAGCTGCTAGCTGGGAAGTCCTCTCACACCCATGCTGATCAGAACTAAAGCTGAACCGATGTTGCTTAGTTACCAACAGAGGTGTGACCACGTCACTGCTTTGCAAGTCACAAGTAAGTCACAAGTCTTTCCAGTCAAGTCCAAGTCAAAGACAACCAAGTCCAAGTCGAGTCCAAAGTCAATGATGTGGAAATCCAAGTCAAGTCCAAGTCCTTAACTTTGAATTTTCAAGTCATAATCAAGTAATTTGTTCAACTTCATATTAATGACAGCGATAATAAATAAATAACAGGAATAAAACTTCATTCATTTGCTCAAACAAGCAGAAACTGGTTATAAACAACGTGCTGCTGCATTTAGCAGTAGATCAAACCCAGAACCAAGAATGATTCATGATTTTTGTTCATGTCGTGCCACTTTTGTCCAAAAATATCAAATATGCTCAAGTCATCATCGAGTCAACAGATGCAAGTCGATTCAAGTCGAAAGTCATTGGCGTTCAAGTCTGAGTCAAGTCGTAAGTCTTTATAGATTTGATCAAGTCAAGTCATAAGTCATTAAAATAATGACTCGAGTCTGACTCAAGTCCAAGTCATGTGACTCAAGTTCACACCTCTGGTTACCAAAATAACAGGTCTGCTGGGCTGGCTCGCCGTGGGGCGTGTGCGCGTGCAGAACGAGCAAAACCACGTGGTTCTCGACACAATTAAAGAAATGAAGTCAAATCAAGCTAACGTTATTTACTTGGTGTTAGTGTTCATATTAAATAAAAGTCCAGACCTGACGCCTGACGTCAACACCTGTTTTTGTTCAAATAGTGTAATTAAAATAACATCAGAATCCATTCTTATGCAGAGATAACAAATATAATAGCATTACTACATGGTTTTGTTATACTGGGTGTAGCATCATGAATGTCCTGTTTTTGACCTAAAGGTCATGATCTGCTGCATCTGCTCGAGCAGAGACATAAAGTCTCTGACAGCCTAATCTACATGAGATAGTGGCCAAGGTCTTTCATGCACTCTGCTCATCTGAACTGCTTCACCTCTGTTACAGCGAAGACGAAGAACTCTTGTGATAAACACATAATCAATAACTTTGTTATTACCAATAATAATGTGAGCCCAATCTGTGAAATGACAATGTTATAACTTGATATTATAATCCTGTGATCAGCAGTATTTTACAAGTTATTATAATCCTGGACATTTGCACTAGACACTGATGACACGTAATGCTAAAGTCACATGACACATTTCCTTTTGTCTGATCCAATCAGAACCTTCGTTTCTGGCTGGGCGTGGTTTTCTGTGGTGTTTGTATAAACCCTCTTTTTCATGTCAAATTCTGATTCACCAGTAAACCAAAATATGACAATTATAAAAACTATTCCACGCCACCTTTTCTTTAGTTCAAGCGTTCTAGAGAAGTCTCGAACCGGCCATCCGGACTTCCTCTTCAGCCATAAAGAACCTCGACAAGCTGGATAAAATCTGTTGCACGTTACACCTGACCGCAACGGTTCCTTCAGAATAAAAGCTGAACTTCACGACCCCTTCAGGGTCTCGGAGACGCCAGTGATAACCTGTCGTGACCTGGAAGCATTCCAAGACTAGTTTGGTTGGCGCCGCTGCTTTTCTACTGGCTTCGGTACCAAAGAGGGTCCAAGAGGACCTCGACATTCTGGATCTAACGGAGGCTTCCCCTGGGGTACGTAGACTGACAGATGGCGTTTCATGTGTGTTATAAATCTCCGACTAAAGTTTAGAGCGAAACATTCACTCCCACTCAGAACTAACCGCTTCTCCGGATCCGCTGGTTCTGATAACATTCCACACACACACCACCATCGTTCATCTCACGTCTCACTCCACCTTAGTCCATCAGTACACAGAGTATTAAAGTTAGTCTTGTTTAAATTGTGTAGAAATAAATTTCTTAACTATTTATAAACCTGACTCTCTCTCTTTCCTCGGCGTTAATACGAAGTGTCGCTTAATCCCTGCAATAAAAAGTTCTGATCTTCTGGTTAAAACAGTCAAAGATCCATCAGATTGATATTTCATATTTCTATGGAATCTCACATTTTATGGTTCATAAGTAAGATGTAAACGACTCATCCTTTACATGGGAATAACAGACTTGAAGAGAACATTGTAAGAGTTTAATTATTTATTTATACGGTGTTAATTTAAAGGAAACATGGCCACCCTAAAACTACAACAAACACCTGAGCAGTGCACCTGTGTCAGGTGCCAGCTGCTCTGTTAGAGCGACATTCAGAGGGAAAAAAAACACTTTACACCTGCCTCGAAGCAGCTCAGATTTAGTGCATAATCACAACAAAACGACAACAGCGCTGCAGTTACAGCTGCTTTAGACACTTTTTAATAACTGGTTGCTGTGACAGGAACACTGACCACCCTGGAACCCCCCGCCAGAACCGCCTCTGCCTAAAACACAGTAGATCTGGCTCAGCACCGCTCTCGCGTATAAAACCACCACCACTGATTCGTGTAGGTGGCCAGTTTTGAATCTAAAATGGTAAAAGGTGAAGAATTGTCATGTCTGCAGTGAGAACCCTGTTACCATGGTGACTTGTGTGTTTTGTGTTTGCAGCGCTGCAGAGCTCCTGCCCCTGTTGGGTCAAATGTCAGACCACTACACCGCCATCATTGTGGAGGAACCGGACTCGTTCGTCGGTCGGGAGGTGAGACAGAAACACGACCCAGCCAGGTCCGAGTTGAGTCTGGAACAACTGCCGGTTCTGTTCTGTGGGCCGGACTGTAGGCTGGGTTGGAGTCGGTGATGTGGCATCAGACCTGAACTAGCATACTGGGCTAACATGCTAACACCTGACATCGGTTCTGGTCCCTAAATAACTTCTAGTTACTGTGTGTGTGTGTGTGTGTGTGTGTGTGTGTGTGTGTGTGTGTGTGTGTGTGTGTGTGTGTGTGTGTGTGTGTGTGTGTGTGTGTGTGTGTGTGTGTGTGTGTGTGTGCCAGGTGATCCTAGACCTGCTGCAGTTTTCGGGGGTTCAGGTCAGGAGAGCGTTAAGTTCTGATCGTTCCCTGTTGGACACTCTGGACATCTCCGTCTTCCCCTCCATCTACCTGCTGCACCCCAATGGAACACACGCACACGTGCACAGGTGACTTCATGTCAGACGTGTAGACATGGCATCAGAAGCAGTGCTAACTGGATTCTGTTGGATCTCCTTCAGTGAGAAGAGGCTTCGGTTCTTTTTCTCGTCCCAGCTGAGAACACTTCCGGGGGTGTGGCACCGCAGCAGTTCTGCAGCCTCTCAGACGGTGGCGCTGCAAGACAGCCAGACCTCACAACCATGGAAGGACTTTGACAGGTCAGACTCGGGGCTGACCGCAGCATGTGATCTCAGACCAGCTCCGACAATTAGTGTGTGTGTGTGTGTGTGTGTGTGTGTGTGTGTGTGTGTGTGTGTGTGTGTGTGTGTGTGTGTGTGTGTGTGTGTGTGTGTGTGTGTGTGTGTGTGTGTGTGTGTGTGTGTGTGTGTGTGTGTGTGTGTGTGTGTGTGTGTGTGTGCCCACCCTCGCAGGTCCAAGGTATACACAGCTGATCTGGAGTCAGCACTTCACTACATGCTGAGGGTGGAGCTCGCCACCCATAGCACTCTGCAGGGGGAGGAGCTAAAGGTCTTCAGGGACTTTGTCACTCTGGTCTCCAAGGTAACCAGTAGGGATGTAAGAACATATCAATATGGCATTTTATTGCAATGTTTTTTTCCAGCGATATTATATCGATATTCAAAAGCCGTGTATCAAATTTCTGGAAGAATTTACATGCAAACATTTGTGTATTTTCTTTTATTTTGGTGCAATTCAAACGCTGGCCACTAGTGGGCAGCAGTGTTCAGTGGGTTTTTGTTTCCACCACTGAAATGTAAATGCCTCTGTTATGGTTCAGATACCTCATGCTAAACATGTTACGTATTGAATATTCGCTAATGTCGTCTGGCTGAATGTATCACAATATGTCGTGATTTATCGTATCGTCTCCCCGGTATCGTGATATCTATCGTATCGCCAGAATTTCACCAACACACATCCCTAGTAAAAAGTAGTTGTCACGGCCAGATGTTTTCTCCTTAAAGCATGATCAAACATCTGTACCTGTGCAGCTGTATCCAGGTGGGGACCCTGTGGTGAAGCTGATGGAGACGCTCTCTGATTGGCTGCTCAGTCTGCCGCTGCAGCAGATCCCGTACCAGGCTGTCCTTGACCTGGTGAACAACAAGATGAGGGTGAGACACACACACACTCATGAACACCTGCACTAGGAGTCGGCAAACGTGGTCTTGGAGATACACTATCTAGTAGGGATGCAACGATACCACTTTTTTCCAAACCGATGCGATACCGATACTTGGATCTGAGTACTCGCCGATACCGATACTTCCACCACACAAAACAATGCAATGATTTGGAATACAGCTTTTATTTGCTTCTCTGCTTTCAACAGAAAAAGACTGTGAGGTAGATAAAAAGTAAAATACATGAATAGAAATCATCACAAAACTAAAATATTAGGTGAACAGAAATAACAAGTTACAGTGAAGCCATTTTCAAGCAACTGCATTGGTATCGGTTAACTTTTACCGATAACAGCATCGGTATCGGTGCATCCCTACTATCTAGTATGTTTTAGTTGTTTCTCTGCTCCAGCACACCTGGTTTGACTCAGCAGGTTTAAAACAGGATTCTACAGGGCTCCATGACCTGCTGAGCACTTGTGTCGGAGCAGAGATGCAACTAAAACATGCTGGATACTGGTTCTAGAGGACTGTAGATGCCCACCCCTGACAGACACACACACACACACACACACACACACACACACACACACACACACACACACACACACACACACACACACACACACACACACACACACACACACACACACAGTAAACTTTTTGTTTCCTCTGCAGATCTCAGGTGTCTTTCTAGGGGCGGAGCTTCGCTGGGTTGGTTGCCAGGGCAGCAGACCAGGACTTCGGGGCTACCCATGTTCCCTCTGGACTTTGTTCCATGTCCTGACTGTCCAACACGATGCCACGCCCACCTCACTGGACAACACAGGTACAGGTTACACACCTGCTGCAGAGTCAGTAAACCATCTTTTCTGGAGCTGTCCCTTTGCGCAGGTGGTTTGGCTTCAGTTGAGTGACCGGCTGGGTGCACTTTGGGGGGGGGGGGTCAGGCAACACTCAACGCCTTCAGGCCCTTTCAGACAGGCAAACAGACATGACCGTTAGTGGTGGATGTTGGTGAAGTGCATTAAAGACACAACATGGTTTTCAAACGATGCATTATTCCAGTGAACAATGCTGATAAGGTTGTTTTCTTTGGTTAGAAATGGGAGATTCTCCCAATGGGACCAAGGAGAACAAACCGGCTGCATAGAAAGCTCCTATAGGTATCTGGCAGCGCTTAGAGAGATCGTTCCTACCAGAGACCACTGCAAGTGTATTGATTAAACAAATGTAGCGATTAATGCATATTAATTATGACCAGTCAGATTGATATTCCATAAAAATATGAAATATCGATCTGATTGATCTTTGAATGTTTAATCAGAAGATTCTAGGGTTCTTTGCTTCTTCAGGGATCATAAACACACTTCGTATTAATCCAGTCAGAGTCAGTAAATAGTTTATAAAATGAATTTAATTCTTTTACACCCAGATTTCACAATTTCTTTCAGATACAAAGAACGGTTGCTGCAAAATCTAGCTTCCATCACAACACCTCACATCCACCACGCCACATCTCCTTATTCATACCCTGTCATGTATAAATTATTAGTTAGGAAACAGAATTACATTCATTTTATAAACTATTTACTGACTCTGTCTGAGCCATCGACATATATACTGGACAATTTGTGTCCATAGGCTCCAATTATAAGTTTTTGTGCCAAAATGGGAGGTGGCCATCACTAGCGATGGGTAATGAATTCGGTACTTTTTAAGGTACCGACCGAATTCCATAGTACCGACTGAGCACCGATTCACGTCATTTGAAACGGTGCCTCGTTTCGGTACCCGTCCTTCATAACGAGAACTTGCCTAGACAGCTGCGCATGCGCAAGAGCGTTATGTCATCGGTCGCTGCGAGCCAGTTGTAAACAGAGCAGCATGGTAGAAAGGACGCACGCTAACGCTTGGGTCCACTTCACTAAATGTGATGGGTAACTGGGTGATGATGAAACCAGCGTCAACGATCTAAGTGAGACATCCTCATCTTAATCTGCTCCGGTAGGTAAATAAAATGTTTAAGATAACGTTAGCTTGATATGTTAGCTTCCGTTCCGCTAATGATGCGTTCGCTTTCTCCTCGGAACTCAGAATTTCCGACTAGAAGAACATGAACGCGCTCTAAAGTTTGGCTTCACTTTACTAAATGCGACGGGTGATTGGGTGAAGATGAAACCAGCGACAACGATCTAAGTGTGAGGCATCATCGTTTTAATCTGCTCCAGCAGCTAAATAAACTGTTTAAGATCACGTTAGCTTGATATGTTAGCTTCCATTGCTACCGTTGTTATCAGCTAATGGTGCGTTCGCTTTCTCCTCAGAAATTCTAACTTCCCAGTAGGAAAAATCAAATGAAAAAGGACGGCAAAAGGAATGAAGATACACAGGAAATTTAGTTCACAGTAAAGATGTTTGCTTCAGTTTAATTATCAGCTTATAAAACTACAAGGACGATGTTAAAATACAAACAGTTGTATGTTATTTATCGTGTTATTTATCAAATATGGTTATTTATTGAGAAAAATATATATTTAACTATAAAAGAGAATTAAAATATTAAACACTCAAAAGAATCGAAAATTGGTACCGTTAAGTACCGGTATCGATTCCTAGGTACCGGGAATTAGTACCGAATCGATTCAAATGTCAAAGGTGCCCATCCCTAGTCACCACCGCCATTTTGTCCTTGTCACAGGTTCCGTCAAGCCCAGACAATTCCATGAAAGGGAAAAGAGGTGGGGCTGTAAGGCTGGGATCAAATGACGACACCCCTCGAACTGAAGCAATGTAGCTACAAGCTAACCGAAAGCTAACACGGAGGTGGGAGCTAAGCTAACGGAGGTAGCTACCTAGCTACAACCGGAGTTAACTGTGTACAACACCAGAGCTTCTGAGTCAGAGATACGCCGGGCTGACCGCCGGGTAAAACCGGGTGGAACACAGAGGTCTCGGAGACCTCCACAAGCCAGCAGCCACACAGCAGACAAGCGCCGCTGCGATCTGAGATGCGCAGAGCTGCCGCTGGGGAGAACCGGGTGGAAAGGTTTCCATCCCAGAGCTCCACCAGCCGGCAGTCCGCGCAGCAGACAGAAGCTGTGCCGAGCTGCGGGGAGGGGATAAGGGTGGAAAACATCGGTCTCCCGAGAGCTCCACAAGCCGATAGTGGGAACCCAGCTCCACCAACATGTTATATTTCAACCCATTTTCTAAAGTGCAGCATTATGTTAAATGCACTGGGTTTTACCCTGTTACATTTAAATGTCATGGTTAAACAGTACATGTTAAAATCTAAGCTCAGCTCGGCAGTGACCTAAAATACATAAATATAATTTTACTTACCGAAAAAAATGAAGTGGAGACTCCTTGGACGCTCTATTAGTGCAATTAATGCCACAGCAAGTCATTTTGTCCAACAATTGCACAAATAATATCCAGAAAGAATACACAAACACAGACTCAAAATCCCGGAGCAGTTTCCAAGCCAGACCGAGGCTCTACTGAGGCCTTTCCACGGAGCTAGCTCTGTGGTCACGTGGGTCTGATGCTCATTAATTATACAGAATTTTAGGCTTTTAATACACTTAAACAGAAGAGTGAGAAAAAAATTCACCCCCCTCAGAGTTGTCATGAGTGTAAACTAGATCATTTAAACCAAAAACATGTTCTGGTACCAGGCTGTAAACATGTTTATTTCTGCTGTGAAATTGGTATTTTTAACATGGGAGTCAATGAGGATTTGCTCGCTTCTGACACCAGCCCCTAGTGGATGAGGGTGGAACTGCAATTTTTGGTACTTCCTGTTTTGCTTCATTTCCAGACCCGAATTATGGGAGCTTGTTCTGAATTAATACGAAGTGTGTTTATGATCCCTGAAGCAGCAAAGAACCCCAGAATCTTCTGATTAAACATTCAAAGATCAATCAGGTTGATATTTCATATTTGTATGGAATATCACATCTTATTGGTCATAATTAATATGTATTAATTGCTACACAAGTTTCCCACACCTTTAACCATTTGAGTGTTTAAACGGGCTTTGTCAGTTTTCCTGATGGATTTTATTGAAGCAGATCTCTTTAAAAATGTTCATTGTTTTTGTTTTTTATTCATGAATGGATATAATTTCTTGCCTCCTCTTTTCAAGTGTTTATTCTTTAGGCAGCGGCACACGTGATGCCTTTTTTGGTTTTACAGCTTTACAGGTGTTAGTACTTTGATGCGTTTGTGTTGAACGCCTAACCTGCGTCAGACAGGTGTGGGTCAACGAAGACCAGAGGGGGTTTTAGATCAGCTGAACCAGGTCAGAGCCTGTTGTCAAACATGTCCTCCTCCACGCACACCTGGGTGAGACGGCAGGACCAGAAACTGAATTCTGTTCAAGTTCCACTCAGAATGTTAAGAGAGAGCATCCTCCACCTGGACCCTACCTGTCCCACCAGAACCTAAGCCTGCTACCAGGCTTAGAACCGGTCCACACAGATCTGCTGGTCTGGAACTGGTCTGATGCCTGGAGGAATCCAGAGGCTGATCTTCTCTGGTGTGTGTGTGTGTGTGTGTGTGTGTGTGTGTGTGTGTGTGTGTGTGTGTGTGTGTGTGTGTGTGTGTGTGTGTGTGTGTGTGTGTGTGTGTGTGTGTGTGTGTGTGTGTGTGTGTGTGTGTGTGTGTGTGTGTGCGTGTGCGCGTGTGTGTGTGTGTGTGCGCGTGTGTGTGTGTGCGCGTGCGTGCGTGTGCGCGCGTGTGTGTGTGTGTGTGCGTGCGTGCGTGTGTGTGTGTGTGTGTGCGTGCGTGCGTGTGTGTGTGCGTGCGTGCGTGTGTGTGTTTTTCTCAGGTCTAGAGGGCGAGGCGGCACCTGTGCTGCAGGTGATGCGGCGTTACATCAGGACGTTCTTTGGCTGTGAGGAGTGCGGTCGCCACTTCGAGACAGCGGCCGCCTCCAGCCTGGAGCAGGTGAAGAATAGGGACCAGCAGATATTGTGGCTCTGGAACCAGCACAACCGGGTCAACACCAGACTATCCGGTACCTCACCTGGTCCACAGGGATCTATTCAGACTGGTTTAGGTCCTCCACACTAACATAAAACTGTCCCCCCAGGTGCCCTGAGTGATGACCCCCTCTTCCCCAAAGCACCTTGGCCAAGCCCCGCCCTCTGCCCCTCCTGCCACGAGGAGAAGAACGGTGTCCACCTATGGAACCAGAATCAAGTTCTTGGGTTCCTCCGACACCACTATGGAGCCTCGAACCTCTCACCAAGATACTCCCTCAGCCCCCCGCGCCTCCCCGCTGCCCTGCCTGACCCAGTCCGGACGGTCCAGCCTCAGGCAGAGCATCGAGGAGCTGCAGCAGTAAAGGGAGCAGAGAGGAAGCCCGAAGAGCAGCCAGAACCTAGACCCGGACACCCTGCTCTGAGAGGGAAGCCAGAGGAGGTTCCGGAGCACGGGGGTCGGGGGGTTTGGGTCCTGGGTCTGGGTTTTAACAGTGTTGACATGAGTCTGTGTGTGGTTCTGTATGCCTGCTCCTGCCTCTTCCTCATGCTCCTCTTCTTCTTCTTCAAACTCCGGTCCAGGAGGTGGAAACGACGCCACCACCTCCACGTGTGACCCGGATCAGCCTCGGTTCTGACCCGCTTTAGCTGAACTAGTGCTGGGTCAGCAGAACTTCAGCTGAGTGTTGTTCTGGATCTGTGGTTGACCAGACTTCATGTGTGAATCTTCAGAACCCGGGTCAGCACCAGTACCTCGATGATACTGCAGAACCAGCTTCATGATGGTGCCGTGTCCGTGGTTCTGATCTGGACCCAAAGATCCTGATCCAGGACCAGAAGTTTATTTATTGTTTTTGTTCCCTGAATCAAGTGAACAGAACTGTTGTGAAGCTGGACCAGAACCACTGACTCAGACCTTAAACTGGTTTCTGTATTTATTTATTTTTATATTTCTGATCGGGTTTTAAGTCTGAACTGGGATTTCCTGTGGCCCCGCCCCCTCTGTACACCTGGCTCTGTTATGACCAGTTAAAGAACTTCTGAGGACTTTGGAATTGGACTTTAACTTGGGACAAGAACCACGGTCAGAACCCAATCTAGGTTTTAGTCCTGCTGATGGAAGCCCAGAGACCCAGAGCCCAGAGACTGACACGACCTCTGACCCAGGAACCAGATGACGTCTCATGGTTTCTGTTCATATTTTTCTGATGGATTATTTTAGTCTTTAACACGTTTGTAAATAAATGTTGTTGCTGAGCGTCCTGCTAGTTTCTGATTTATTGCAGAGGTCTGGTGGACCACCAGGGTCCAACAAAGACCACTGGAGTGCACTAGAAACCACCAGGGTCCACCAGAGACCATGGGGGTCCACCATAAACAAACAAGGTCTACCAGGGTCCACCAGAGGCCACAGGGGACCACCAGGGTCCACCAGAGACCATGGGGGTCCACCATAAACAAACAAGGTCTACCAGGGTCCACCAAAGGCTTCTGGGGACCACCAGGGTCCACCAGAGACCATGGGGGTCCACCGTAAACAAACTGGGTCTACCAGGGAACACCAGGGTCCACCAGAGACCATGGGGGTCCACCGTAAACAAACTGGGTCTACCAGGGAACACCAGGGTCCACCAGAGACCATGGGGTCCACCATAAACAAACGGACTACCAGAGGCCAAGGGGGACCACCAGGGTCCACCGTAAACAAACAGGGTCCACCAGAGGCTTCCGGGGACCACCAGGGCCCACCAGAGATCATGGGGGTCCACCGTAAACAAACAGGGTCTACCAGGGAACACCAGGGTCCACCAGAGGCTACCGGGGTCCACCAGAGACTACCGTGATTTACTAGAGACTAATAAGAAAGATTGCCAGATTTACCAGAATCTACCAGGGTCTACCAGACACTACTGGATTTGTAATGAGCTCCAGTCTGGCCTGTTTGCTGCTTCACCCAGATCTAGCTGGGTTTACTCAGGTCTAGTTAGGTCCACCTGGATCTAGATGTGTCTAGTTTTGTCCAGCTGGGTCTAATCAGGTCTAGCAGGGTCTAACCAGTTGGCTCTGGCTTGGTCTACATGGGTCCTACTGGGTCTAGTTGAGGTGCAATACCTTAGTATGGTGAAGGTTCTTATCGTGGTCCTCGTGATCCAAAGCAGTTTGAATGAATGCAACTTGACTTTGGTTTCTTGAAGACAAATAGACAAAGCTCCTCGGATGAGAAGCAAAACGCCTTCAAGAAACCAGTTGCCTTCATTCGAACCCCTTTGGAATACCATTAGTACCTCAGCAGGACTCAAACCAGTTAGGTTTGGTTGAACTGCATTTCCATCAGTAACTGGTTCCAGGATGTAACTGCTGATGTGGTTCCCAGCCAAAAACAACATCAGAGACTTTTGGTCACTGATTGTTTCGGAGGATGGAGTCACTGGTTTTTCCAGTTTCCCGCCTGCTGCCTGCAGCCTTTTCCAGGATGAGAGTCTGACAAAAATCCACCAAGTAAGCAGAATGGTTAGCATCACCACCATGTCTGTCATCTGAGGCAGCAGTAGCTCAGGAGGTGGAGCGGGTTGTCCAGCAACTGGAGAGTTGTAGGATCAATCAATGCTGCTGTTGTGTCCTTGGGCAAGACATTTAGCCCACCTTGCCTTGCTTGCGGTGGTCAAAGGGACCAGTGGCGCAAGTATTTGGCAGCCTCGCTTCTGTCAGTGCGCCCCAGGGCAGCTGCGGCTACACTGTAGCTCATCATCATACAGATCAACTCATGCTTGCAGTTGTCGAGCATAAACCCCTCCCCCTTCTACTCTAAGCTCACCCACCAGAGCCATTTCTCAGTTGTGACAGAACACCACCCGACCTGAGTAGAGTTGAGTAATGGTGACTGCTTTAGGTCTTGTTGGGTTTAGCTGGATCTAGCTGGTTTAGAAGGTGGGGTTTAGCTGCATCTAATCAGGTATAGCTAGAGTCTAGTAGGGTCTAGCATTTAGACCCTACTAGACTCTAGCTGGTTAGACGGCCAAGCTAGGTTTTTCAGGGTCTAGCTGCATCTAGTTAGGACTAGTCAGGTTAAGTCGTCTAGCTTGGGTCCAGTTGGCTCAGGGACTAAGATTACTCTTTTGGTTGAATAAGCTGATGAGTTCAATTTAACCGGAGAATGCAGAATCAGGTTTTCGGATGTCCCCGTTGGAAGAGCGTTCAGGATCGGGACAAGTTTAGGACCTGAAGAATCGTTCTGTGGTTTAGAGAGTTCTCCAGCAGGATCTGACCTCGGGTTCCTTAAACTGCCACACGCAGGTGCATACAAGTTGTCATTAACCCCCTCCCCTTAATATTGTAAATAGTTTTAAATCCAGACTTGACAAGTCCGAGGGAGACAGACAGGTCCTGTCTCTCTGCAGGAAATATGTGTGTGCATGGACGTGTGCTAGTGTGTGTGTGAGAGAGAAGCTGGCACACAGTCGCAGAATGCACACTATGTACTCGGCATGCCAACTCAGCCTCGGCACTGCAATGCAGCGCAGAGTATTTGGCCAAGTCATGCCACACACACACACACACACACACACACACACACACACACACACACACACACACACACACACACACACACACACACACACACACACACACACACACGCGTGTTGTCACAGTTTCCTGTGTGATTGTCAGCCTTGCACGGTGTTGTCTCTGCAGCAGTGAGCTGTGATGCATGCTGTCTCTCAGCCTCTGCAGGGCAGTTAGCCGCATTAGCTCCCTACATGTCCTCAGATGACTCCTCCTCCTCCTCCTCCTCCTCTCTTCCTCCTCGGCTGTCTGCTGTATCCTTGCCTCCCCCCCCCACCCCTTGCCTCTCCTCCTGTGACACACCAGACGATGCATTGACTGAACGGAGGAAAAGAAGAAAACCTCTCCCAGCCAGCCGTCCTGCCTGCTGCATGGAGAAGGAAAGGAGGAAGAGGAGTAGAAGGAGGTGAGGAGATCCTGACTGTTTCCCGTTCTGCTCTGACTGTATCTCATGTCTGTCTGTTTCTGAAACTGTTAAGTGTTTCTTTTAACTCGTCAGTCACACTTGTCCCTCTATCAACGTCTTGTCTGCATGTTTGTTTACATTTTCTGCACTCTGAACAAAAGCTTTAAATCGAACTGAAATGGGCTCTGCAGAACCAAACAAGTCTGTGTCAGTCTAGGACCTCCGTGAACTCTGGTGGACTGTACTGTAAAAATCTGAAGTGTACTTCACTAGACCCTAGTGGGCAGTTCAGTACAGCAGCGAGTAAGAAAGGGTGACTACCACCCACACAATTCTCAGGAAGGTGTAATGGAGAACAACAGCAACGTGTCCATACTGGAGTCTCTAGAGACTACCAAACAACAGCTCAAGCTCCAATACTGAGAAGCACCAGAGATGCCAAGGTTAGAGAATAAGCAAGATGTTCTCCACTGCATCAACCAAAGTGTATTGTCAGTGGCTGGAAATAACATGAGGATAGACTCGTCAAGTGCTGAGACTGAACAATAGTGGAGAAGCATCTGGGAGAAGGAGGCCTCATGCAACACCAGGGTCCTCTGGCTAGAGGGCAGATCACTGCAATACCTTACAATGAGAACCGAGACATGGCGTGGGCAGACATCCAAGAACACGTCTGAGAATGAAAAGTTGTGTGGCAGTGTGAGTGTCCTGTCACAGTGTCCCGATTGATCATGCGCCCTGGCTACTTGGCCAAGGGGATGTCCCTTTGGCTGATTGGTTATCACGGTGACTCTCACCAGTGGAGCTGTAAACCAGCGGCTGGTTGAGAAAACCACTGACTAAGACTTGAAGACCAGAAAGCAACCTGTGCACTGCTGTGATTAACTAGAAGAAAGCCTCTGACACATGCACGAATCCTGGAGATCTTGGAAATGTATAATATCAACAGGTCACTGAGAAGACCTCAGTGGGAAGTGGAGAGACCACTTGAAAGATGATCACATAAGTTGGCAACAAGTGTAGCATGAGTCAAGATGATGCTCAGTCCCCTTACTGTCCTCCATCAGCCTGAACCCCTCACTGTCACAAAGAGAGGCTATGGACATGGTTCAACTGGGGAGCAGCCATCTGCCACCTTCTCTACATGGAGGACTTCAAACTAAGCCAAGAATGAATGATCCTATTCACCAGGGATTGGAATGTCATTAGGAATGTGGTGGAATGATCCCCGATGAAGGCAAGACGACCCCAACTGAAGGGGTTGAAGAACTTGACACCATCATTGCAGATGTTCAGCACAGTTTCCAAGATCTTTTGATCCTGCTGACACATGGCAATCATGATGAGGCTTCAAGAAAATCGGTCACAACCAAGCGTATCCAAAGAGTAAGCCAGGTCCCAAAGAGCCATTTGGATGGGGAGTCCATTAGCAAATGCAGCGCTAGTTATCAGATACCCTGCTAACCAAAGGAGGAGATACTGCTATCAAGACAGGACCAAAGAGGCCCCCAAAACTGTCCATTACACCAGGATGTAAGATCCAGATAGGCGAAGCATAAATTAAACACCATAAGCAACTGTATGAAACAGTGTATATGAGGCAGTGTGAGCGTCCTGTCACAGTGTCCCGATTGATCATGCGCCCTGACTACTTGGCCAAGGGGATGTCCCTTTGGCTTACTGGTTAGCGCATGACTCTCACCCGGAAGTCTGGGGATCGAATCCGGCCTGGGCCCTCGTTTCTCCACCTTGCCACATATAATTCCACAGTCAAGAGTGTAAGGATCCACCGCAAGTGTTGGAGAATGGCAGAACTAAAATCTCACAGGACTTCCAAATCCAGACTAACAGTTGATGGCTAAATAAATGTGTCATGGTCTGCGTCCTGCGTCCCCCTCATGTGTCTCCTCGTGTTCCCCAGCCCACTCCAGGTTTTCCCCTTAGGTGTTCTTCGTTGGTTCATGTGCCCCTTTAGGTCTCCAGGTCCCTCCAGGTTTCCCTCAGGTTCCCCTGTAGTGTTTTCTGATGTAGTAATCCCATCCCTGTTTTTCTTCTGGTGTCTTGTTTTCAGGTTTTCAGGAGTTCACTCATCTGTAGATTTATTTTACCTAGTCAGTTTTCCCCACTCAGTTAATTGGTCTCACCTGATCCCTTCTGATTACTCCCCGCACACCTGTCGCCCGTCTCCCTGATTGTTTCCCTTTGTGTATAAAACCCTGTCCACGTCTCAACGTGTTGTCGGTCCATTGTTTGTGTCAGCGTTGTCTCCAGGTCTCCAGGTCTCCAGGTCAGCTCTTTAAGAGAGCACTTTGTCTCTAGGTCTCTTGGTTTTCATACTAGGATTTTTGGATTTTCGGTTTTGGCTTCCTGCCCCATTGGATTTACTTTTGGACAATCGCTCCTAACAAAGGATTTTTATGTTTATTTCAACTCCTGCCTTGTGTCTCCCTGGTTCTGCATCTGACCTTCCCCCTACTCGCAGCTTGACAAAATGGAAATCATTGGTGGTCAACAAACAGCAGAACAAAGCAGAGGTGACAGATGAAGCGATTCCCTTTAACGGGAACTTCACGAAGAAGGAACACAAGAAACTGGAGGAAACTCTAGGGCTGAAAAAGTAATTCAGAAGTTATAGTCAAGGGCAAAGCTGCAGTAGTACCTTAGGTCATAGCGGCATTCAGGCTGGGATGACCCAGTCTGAAAGAATGGCACCATCAGATTCCAGGAACCACCTCAGAGTGCAGCTCTAGGACGAGCTCAGCTGACATGTAGAGAAGAACCCTGAACTGAGTTGGGGGACAGCTGACAGTACACATCCACCTATGCACTGATTGGCCGGCTGGAGTTCATAACTACCTTTTCATGGGAGCCTATGATTGGCGACGGTAGAATCAGTCAGCCGCGATTTCCCACATGCACGATTGGGGTAAACATCTTCTCTGACTGCAGCTTGGACCGGCCGCTGTGGCCACGAGAGCGCAAGGACCGACCATCTGATGTGAGCATTTTTGGATGTCCAGGGCAACGCCTCTGCTCAACGAGAGAGTAGGAAGCTGTGCGCTTCATGTCAAAACCTCCGAAAGCAACACTGTTCGCGCCCACTTGTTTCCTTACTGGTGGGGCTCAGGATGGGCACCACAGACTTTTCTGTGCCTCTGTAGACCCTGCTCACATGCTCATAGACATCCATGTTCCTGAGAAGGCTGCATGAACAAAACCTGGCAGTGTGGGGACAGACTGTCCCCAGCCAACAAAGACGGAACTGACCTAAGTGTAAAAGGTCCAAAACATGCAGGTCACGGATAAAAATTCAGTTTTTGCAACTACATCATTTATTGTCTAATTTTAATTGAATGCCTGTATGATAGTAATTTTTATTTTATTGTGTACTTCTATGACAATACAACAGTAATACTACCGCCTCTCCACTGGGGGGTGGGGGTGGGGGGATCAATAGACATGTAAAGGACTGGATCTGGCAGGTACTAATCCTGAAACTCCACCTGGATGCTTTAAAAACCAAAGGCGTTAGATGTGTGATGAGATCTGGAGTTAAACGTACAGTACGGCTGAACGTCTAGACAACAAGCCTGTCCCGTAGGAAACCGCGGACAAGTCAGAAAGCTGTCCTATCTAGACTGAGGACGGGACAACTTGTCTCATCAGGACTGAGGACAGGACAGAGAGCTGTGTCCCATCGGGATCTGATGTTTTGTAGATGATGGTTTTAATTTATTCACTGCTGATTTTGGTGTGAAAGAGACTGAAACATGAGCTGCGATGAATGTTTGTCAGTTTGTTCTGCTGCTGCATTGGAAGGTGTGAAACTGATGCTTTTGAACTTCTCATTGTCTTTTGTTTCTCTTGCTCCAGATCTTTCTCTCTGATGAATGTACCTCAATCTTTACGCTCTTCTACCTCTGACTGACTGGACCTCCCAGACCTCTGACCTCATGGATCTGAAACATTTTGGAGTTTGCTGCAGCATCCCTGACACCTAGACCCCTCGTTGTTTTCAGCCACTTACCATACCGTCTGCCTCAGGCTAACAGCCCCCATGATGTCAGAGGGACTTCTGCAGGTGGAAATTCCAGACTTTGGCAGCAGCGTGCTGGGAAGCCTGAATGAGCAGCGGCTGCGTGGACATTATTGTGATGTCTCCATCCTGGTTCAGGGTCAGGCCTTCAAGGCCCACCGGGCCGTCTTGGCTGCCTCCTCGCTCTACTTCAGAGACCTGTTCAGCTCTGCGTCTGACTCTTCCTCATCTTCCTCCTCCCAGGCTGTGTTTGAGTTGCCGTCCTCCGTGACACCAACATGTTTCCAGCAGATTCTGTCGTTCTGCTACACCGGGCGCCTCAGCATGGCAGCCAGCGACCAGCTAGTGCTCATGTACACCGCAGGCTACCTCCAAATTCAAAACATTGTGGAACGAGGCATGGAGCTGATGATGATGAAGGCCTCTTCCTCCTCTCCACTATGCTGCGATTCTCAGGTGGGTTCGACAGGGCTACATGTCAAATAATGTTGAGCTTCCGTGCTAAAAAAAACAGCACATGTTTTGGATGCTGGTCCAGCACTGGATGCTGCTAATGGGATTCTGGACCAGGATTGGGGACTTTGTGGATCTCAGACTGTGGTGGACCAGCAAAGCCCGGAAACCTCTGTTAGCTTTGTTAGTTTTGGTACATTAGCTTTGTTAGTTTTGGTACCCAGCCAGCCCCACCAACACGTCATAATAACCCATTTTTGACCAAGCAGCGTTCCAGTGAATACCCAGTATTTTACCGTATTCAACAAATGAAAATACAGAAATATAATTTTACTTACTGATAAAAATGGGACCGGGTCTGGTAGGGCAGTCAAAACCATAGCTAGCCATTTTTGACCAACAAATACACAAATAACATCCAAACACGAACACACAGGGACACAATGGTCAAGTTCGGAGAATGGAAATGGCTGAACATTTCTGACGCGAGTCTGTGAGGCCTTTCCCAGAGCTAGCTGCTAGTGCTAGCTCTGACAGCTCATGCTACCTGTCAATCAATTAGCCCCCCCCCCCCCCCCCCGAGTTGTCATGACTGTACTATACTATATGTTTTTTTTTTTATCAGACTGTTGTTTATTTCTGCTTTGAAGTTGGCATTTTTAACATGGGGTCAATGGGAACTTCTTACTGGTGCCAGCCCCTTGTGGATGAGGGGGGAACTATAATTTTAGTCACTTCCGGGTTGGCTTCTCACAGAAAACAGTCTCACCAGCTTCATTCTTGAAATTTTCTATATCTTCCAGAATGAGTCATTTCAGGGCTCTGTCACTTTAAGGAAAACAAGCTGTTGCTGGCCACGCCCACCCCTTAGCATTTATCACACAAGGAATGGCAAATTACTGGGGTGTTTCTCAATGCCAAGGAACCTTGCCTTGATGTCTTGGCCCCGCCCCGGTTGCCTAGGCGATACGTCATCGGGAGCCGCCAAGACGTGTTCCAATGTTCGTGTTCTACCGAGGCGTGTGTTCTCCGTTTGTTAGCCGTTTAGCTAGCTGAGCGGGGACACACGGGAGGTGTCTTGTAGCCTAGCCTTGGTCAAAAATTACCTAGAATACACTGCGGCATTTTCAAAAGGACGGCGGATCAGAAGCCGGCAGCTACTTCGGGGACAATTTTCAAGTTTAAAAGTGAGTCAGCTAATTTAAAATTTTTTTTAGACCCAAAGAAGTTATCTATGGTTGGACAGTTGCTTAGTAGTTGCAGCTTCGGTGGCTGGCAGGTAGTAACTCGCTTTTAATTTAATAAACATATACACAATTTAAAAAGTAAAAGGCTCGTTTTATATTTATACTGAAACTAATACGTATAAATGTAACGTTATCTCCCGTGTCACGTGACGTTACGTAACTGCCGTGGTCATGTGATGCAAGTCTGTTACATTTAACCATTTTCTTTGAACAAGGAAGGACCGTGTCCTTGTAAGCAAGGCGCCTGGCCTCGCAAGACATCTGCTCGCGAGGCCAGGCGCCTCGACATTGAGAAACACCCCTGGTCACATTCTTGCTTTCTCTGCCATCAGCGTTATAGGTGAAGCACAGTCCCATCCAAATTATTTAAATCCAGATTTAACTTACTGTGTTCAGTGTGCACCTACACATGCATTTAAATGCTAATTTAAATGCATGTAAATCTTGTCAAAATACTGTTGAGCCAAGCTAGTTCATACGATGCCCGTCTGGTGACATGTGGGGAAAAAATAATAACTCGTGGCCACGAGATACTTAAAGCGTGGGAAAGAGTTGTTAACTCGTGGCCACAAGGTTTTTTTTTTCCTCAATGTCACCACACAGGCACCGTGCATAACAGTGGCTGAAAGATAAAGTCATTATTTGAAAGTACTTACAACTCCCTCATCTGCTGGCTTGACACAAAGCCAGATCACCCAGCCCTACATTTGAGTCAAAACAGCTTTTCTGTGTAAACTACTTTCAATGCCAAGTGACAGTGTGTAGTTTTTACTATTAATCTCTAGAAATATCCATTGAAATGTTGTTGTAAATGAATTAAAAGATTCCCAGTTGTTGAAAAACATTGCAGTTTCATAAAATAAAACCATAAAAATCTGTTCTAAAATACATGGAGCGTCTCCGGGCGACGCCATATTGGATGCCATGTTTTCCTTCTACGGAAGCCCGTGAGGACAAACACATTTACTGATTTGTATAAATGGTTACAAAATTTTCACCAATGATAAACGTTTTAGTTTTACACGTTCACCTCTTCACTCGTTGCCAGTGATGAAAGGGAATCTGATGTTCTTGTTATTTTGCTGGAGGTTGCACTCCCAGGGATTTTTGACCCTAATGGGCATCCGTTGGTCAGGTCTTATTTGAACACAAAAATAATGCTTGCTTGCAATGATTTAGGTGTCTACTGCCCCCTGTCGCCAGGGAAAATACACACTGTCACTTTATGTGAGGAGCAGTTATATGAGGCAAACAGCAGCACTTAGTGGCTACCAGTGGAACTGCAGCTGAATCGTCCTGTTGCTGTTCTGTCACCCAGACAAACTCTGCTGATGAGCTGGTGGAGTTTGACCCCTCAACCGTCCAGGACAGGCAGCAGAATGGTGCCTCCCAGCTGCAGGAAGCTAGCCCGGATCAGCCGTCCCTGAGTCCAGAAGAGCTGCTGCTGGTTGTCAGCAGGATCAAGCAGGAAAGGGCGGACACTCCCCCAGCCGAGGAGAACGGAGGAGGAGGGGAGGAGTCTAGGTTAGGTGACTTTATCTCTGGTTGTGTATCTGTGAGGTTTTGTGTTGTGGTAGTGTCATCACTCATGTGCAAAATGATGCCTGACTGTATGAACCATGTATGGATAATGAACCCCCTCCCTGGATCATATCTTCTGTCCCATTCTCACCCTCTCTGTCCTCAGAGTGGACTTGGTTGGAGAGCTGCAGACTTCCAGGACCAGCGCTCTGTGCTTCCTGACTACAGGTGGAGGTTTGGTCCCTGGACTACAGTCCTACTTGTTGACAGGAGGGCGCTCTAGTCCAGGAGGGACCAGCCTCCCCACAGACTCCCCTCCCTCCCACCCCCCCACTGAGGAGGAGCTGGAGGAGGAATATAGTAACGCAGTCCACCCAGGACTGTACCAACACCTCTACGGTCACCATGGAAACCCCTACAGTGAGTCAGCTGTTTCACCTACATAGCAACTGTAACGTTAGCTTTCAGCAGGTTCTTTTCATGTGTGTTTGTTGAAAGTCCTTCTAGGAGCCTGTGATCTGGACTCCGGGACCGGGTCCGGGTCCCGGTTCGGGCCCTGGTCCTGTAGAAATGTAGAATCAGCTTTTTTATATATTTCAGTCGGTTTTTAGGAATATGTTTTGATTGTTGATTATCTCTGACCCTTCCTGCCTGCGTGCTTTTTGGTTCAGTTCAAGAGAAGCTGGAGCTTCTGCCCCTCCCATTGGCTAACGAGCGACGCCCCTGCGTGCTGGTTGGTCGCGACAACATGGCTCTGCCTGCCAGTCTGATCAGTCAGATTGGGTATCGCTGCCACCCTTCGCTCTACACAGAGGGAGATCCTGGAGAAAAGGTGGAGCTTGTGGCAGGTAGGTCAGAAGATCATCTGTTGTCATGGTAACTGCCACATTACAGATGGTCATGTAATGCATATTTATGTGTGTTCAGGTTCAGGTGTTTTCATGACAAGAGGTCAGCTGATGAACTGTCACCTGTGTGCCGGAGTCAAACACAAGGTGCTGCTCAGGAGGCTGCTGGCCACCTTCTTTGACAGGTGAGCTGTTAGCCCTGTTGCACCTGGCTATAGTTAGCCCTGTTACACTTGGCTATAGTTAGCCTGTTACACCTGGCTATAGTTAGCCTGTTACACCTGGCTATAGTTAGCCTGTTACACCTGGCTATAGTTAGCCCTGTTACACTTGGCTATAGTTAGCCTGTTACACCTGGCTATAGTTAGCCCTATTACACCTGGCTATAGCCCTGTTACACCTGGCTATAATTAGCCCTATTACACCTGGCTATAGCCCTGTTACACCTGGCTATAGCCATGTTACACTTGGCTATAGTTAGCCTGTTACACCTGGCTATAATTAGCCCTATTACACCTGGCTATAGCCCTGTTACACCTGGCTATAATTAGCCCTATTACACCTGGCTATAGCCCTGTTACACCTGGCTATAGCCATGTTACACTTGGCTAAAGTTAGCCTGTTACACCTGGCTATAGCCCTGTTACACCTGGCTATAATTAGCCCTATTACACCTGGCTATAGCCCTGTTACACCTGGCTATAGCCATGTTACACTTGGCTATAGTTAGCCTGTTACACCTGGCTATAGCCATGTTACACCTGGCTATAGTTAGCCCTGTTACACTTGGCTATAGTTAGCCTGTTACACCTGGCTATAGTTAGCCCTATTACACCTGGCTATAGCCCTGTTACACCTGGCTATAATTAGCCCTATTACACCTGGCTATAGCCCTGTTACACCTGGCTATAGCCATGTTACACTTGGCTATAGTTAGCCCTGTTACACCTGGCTATAGCCCTGTTACACTTGGCTGTAGCCATGTTACACTTGGCTATAGTTAGCCCTGTTACACCTGGCTATAGCCCTGTTACACCTGGCTATAGTTAGCCCTGTTACACCTGGCTATAGCCCTGTTACACCTGGCTATAGTTAGCCCTGTTACACCTGGCTATAGTTAGCCCTGTTACACCTGGCTATAGTCCTGCTATACCTGGCTATAGTTAGCCCTGTTACACCTGGCTATAGTCCTGCTACACCTGGCTATAGTTAGCCCTGTTACACCTGGCTATAGTTAGCCCTGTTACACCTGGCTATAGCCCTGTTACCCCTGGCTATAGTTAGCCCTGTTACACCTGGCTATCGTCCTGCTACACCTGGCTATAGTTAACCCTGTTACACCTGGCTGTAGTTAGCCCTGTTACACCTAGCTATATTGACTGTATTACACGTGGCTACAGTGAGTCATTTTACACCTACATAGCTACTAGTAGACGTGGACAACACACACACACACACACACACACACACACACACACACACACACACACACACACACACACACACACACACACACACACACACACCTGCCCATGCTGATTAACTTATTTGGTTTCCATAGAAACACTCTGGCCAATAGCTGTGGAACAGGGATCCGCTCCTCCACCAATGATCCGAGTCGAAAACCTCTGGACAACCGCGTGTTAAACACAGTCAAACGTAAGACACACACACACACACACACACACACACACAAACACACACACACACACACACACACACACACACACACACACACACACACACACACACACACACACAATCACCTTGATGTTTTTTGCGTTGTTCTCCACAAGCTGAAGCATTTCTCTGTGCCCCTGCTCCAGTCTACTGTCAGAACTTTGCTCCAAACTTTAAGGAGAGTGAGATGAACGTCATAGCGGCCGACATGTGCACCAATGCCCGGAGAGTTCGTAAACGTTGGCTCCCAAAGATCCAGTCTCTCCTTCCTGACGGCCTCCCCACCTCATCTTCATCACATCCTCGCAAGGGTAAGAGAGGAGGTGGAGCAGGAGCAGGGAGCATAGGAGGAGAGCGAGCTGGCGGAAGCCCTTTTGAGTTGGACCTAAGGCATCTCAGCTCCTCCTACCTCGGACTGGAGGCGCCGCTGTTTGCTGAGCGGCATGAGAGGGAGGCAGCAGGTGGGCAGGAGCAGGACAAGGAGGCCCCATCTACTGTCCTGCCCCACCTGCAATTTGCTAGCTCTCGTGGAGGGAGTGGGGGGCAGGGGGAGGAGCTGCTAATGGGAGGTGAGGCAGACAGAGAAGGAACGCTACAGACGGAACAACCCTCAGACCCCTCCCTCTCCTTGTCCTCTTCCTCATCCTCTGCTGCCTCCCCTTCACACCCCTCCCCTCAGCCTGCTGAGCTTGCTCCCCCTCACAGGGGATTGGTTGACACAGACACAAGGGGGGCGGACCCTCTGGAAGACAGCCAGTGAGCCTTCAATGCATCTGCCTACCTAAATGTAAATAACATAATAGCTACCTGTTCTGTCCTGTCTGCCCTCCTACCTCACTTCCTGTCTGCCCTCCTACCTCACTTCCTGTCCTCCTTTTAACCCTCTAACCTCACTTCCTGTCTGTCTGCTTGGCTCTGCTGCATGTCGACAGCTCCCTGCAGTCCAGCTCACAGGCCCATAGCACCAGGACTGATGATGACGACTATACTCACTCTGTTAATGATAATAAAGCTTTTCGTTGATCAGGTTTATTGATTGGTTGTCTGATTGAATAACTTCCTTTAGAATAAAGATGTGTATTGTCTCTGATTTTGCTAACACGCTGTAATAAAGGTGTGAACAACGGCACGGTAAGAACACGTCAGACCGTTCCATGTTCTCGTGTTCCTGCTCTACCTGGACCTCAGGGATGCAGAGCAGTTGATTCTACACATCTTCCCATAAAGAAGCAGGGGGCTGGTTGGCCAGGCTACAGGCCCACACTCCTTCAGACCTGTAGAAAGTTTGGACAGCTGTTGACCAACTGTGTGTCCGGGTAGTGGCCTGGGGTAGCAAATGCCACCCTTGGAATCTGATTGGCCACCCCAGGTGCCACCATACTGAATTCCCTTTAAATAGGCTTTTCATTGTCCACAAAAGGTTTGGGGTAAAAATAAATAAATAAATAAATGCATAACCATTGGTGCCACCCATGCACAAAGTAGTGCCTCACCTGGGTCACCCCATTTTAAAAGATCCGGACACGCCACTGCTGTTGACTTGGAGCCACTTTAAAGGATAACAGCCTAGCTGTGACAACTGGGAAGAATTTATTATTTTTTATGTTTTACACATTGATGTTTATGCCAGTTGAAGACTCCGGTCCAGGAGCATGTCGCTAATGTCCCGCTGATCTCCGCCCGTGGAGAACGAGCTGATCTGGAAGGCCAGGACTCCCGGTCGCAGCGGTCTGGCCCTGCTTGTAATTTAACAGTCCCAGTCCGTATCAGATCTCACATTCTGCCTAGAGATGAGTCTGCGGGCGGCAACACCCCCCACCCCCACCGCTCTCCCAATGGGGAGGGCCAACGATTCGTTAAAAGTGCCAGGATCAAATTTTGGTCCCAGTCCACCCCTGGGCCTGGGCCCCATGGGCAACAGCTTGTCCACCAGGCTCCAAACCCAGGCCTGGGTCCTGGGTGGTACCTCGGTGACTTCATCGGGTGGCTGGCACACACTGGCCAAGGGGTTCCACTGGTAGAGGCTGCTGGAGAGAGGACAGGATCAGCCTCTCTGCTGGAGCTGCACCCCCACACCCTGGACCTAGGTGAGCGGGAAAAACCAAACGTTGCAGACCTTAAAACTCCGGTTTTGTCTGTCCACACGCAGACACCCAAAACGGAGTCATTCTACTCTGTGGAATGACTTACTGCTTGCTGTGAAGCAATCATCATCACTGCAGGATTTTAAAAGTGGCCTGAAGACTCGCTTTTATCATTTGGATTTTAGTTCATTTTATTCTGTTTTATCCGTTTTTAACCGTTATTTATTGTCTTGTTATCTCGCCTCTGTCATCACCATCAGCATGTGAATGAGTGTGTGAATGGATGAATGATACACTGTAGTGTAAAGCGCTTTGGAGTCCTTACTCTGAGAGGCGCTATACAAGTGTGGGTCATTTATCATTATCTGCTTGTTATTTGATTGTTTTATGTTTTTTATGTTGAGCGCCTTGGGCTCCAGTCAAGTTTGATTGATTGATTGATTGTGGGCGACGGTGGCACAGGAGTTAAGTGCTTGCCTCGTAATCGGAAGGTTGCAGGTACGAGCCCCGCTCAGTCTGTCGCCGTTGTTGTGTCCTTGAGCAAGACACTTAACCCCCCTTGCCTGCTGGTGGTGGTCGGAGGGACCGGTGGCGCCTGTGCTCGGCAGCCTCGCCTCTGTCAGTGCGCCCCAGGGCAGCTGTGGCTACTTTGTAGCTCATCCCCATCAGTGTGTGAATGTGTGTGTGAATGGCTGAATGACTGGTTGTGTTGTAAAGCGCCTTGGGGGGGTTCCAGGACTCTAGAAGGCGCTATATCAAATACAGACCATTTACCATTTGATTGGTTGGTTGATTGATTGTGCTTATATTGTCTGTCGTATCCATGTGAACAATTAAATTAAATTAAAAAAAATTATACCTAAAAATAAAAAATAAAACTATATTAATTTCAAGGAATTACAACAAAATGATCAGCGATAGGAAGTGTACTTTTGGATGTAGCACTAAGACTGCGTAAACATTATCTAGATAGTCTTATGCTTCATTTTTTTATAGAGACATTCTGCCACTGTGCAGATCTATACGACACACATTCAGTAATTATTCTCTGACAAGAGCAATCATATAGGTGCAGCATAAAAATCTTTACAAAAGAGTCATTAGGAATAACCACAAGACAATAAAAGCAAGATTAAAAAATAAAAATGAACTATAAACCATACATAAATAATTACAACCAAACATTAATGATCAGTCTGGAGATTTAAGTTTTGTAGTGTAAATCTCTGAATGATGTTGGAGAAATCCAAAGGGTCACATTATGTGTGTGTTACATGTTTTTCTAAGCAGATTATTTCAAACTCATTGCGTTTTGAGAAGTTTCAGAACACTGGATTATTTTTTTTATTGGTATGTTCCCCATAATTAGTTTTATGGATTATTCTGATAACTGGATTTGTAAGATGTCTAGAGATTTGGTAGTTTCACAAGTGCTGTACCAATTTCCACACAATCTGTTAAATGTTTAGTTATTGAATGGTACAGCATTTTAATGTAGTCTTGGTTCATATGTCGAATTTTGTTTATTATTTAAATTGTTTTGCATAGATTTGTTTTATGCTTCTAGGTTTTCTCCTAAGAGTTTAATCTCATAACTTTTATATATAGTGTATATAGGTTTTAATAATGGATAAAGGTTGCATTTCGTGCATGTTTGGGTCAGCACGTAATCAGTGATGCTGCAATGCATACTGGGAGATGTAGTTTGGCCAACGACAAGCAAATCTGGTATCTTCTCAACCAATCGCAACGCCTTAAACAAGTTACCGACTAATCACAGCGTTTAGCACCTGCTAACAACAAATCAATGCACGTACTGATTATCTTCAACCAATCACAGCGCTTCTTGCCCGTGGCTAGCCAATCTTGTTACAACAACACGCATGATGCAGCCCGACACTGCGCTTGCGCACACTGTGGACAGCTGATAACTCATCTATTATGCTACCTAGCTGTTAAATAAAAATCCTGCAGAGAAACGTCGGAAGACGCCGCTGGACCACCGGAGGAACAACTCAAAGTAAATACGTTTCTCCGGGTGGTCGCGCGGGAAGCTACGGGGCACCTGGACTGACTGCTGGTTCCGTGGCATGTCGGAGGCTTCTGGCTTCTCGGCGCCTTTAGACAAAGCTGAGCTAACAGGCTAACATGTCGAACAGCGAGCGTTAACATTAGCAAATATTTTAGTTCTGACCCAAAGGATCCGCTCGGAGAAAGGTTTTGAACCGATAAAGCATCAGGTTGTTTTCCTCCGCGCATTCTCAAACAACCACCATCACACCCACAGATCACCCACTGGTCTCCGGTGAGCAGCGCCGCTCGGCCGGCTAGCAGCTAGCCGTGTAGCTTTGGGTTGCCCGCCATCTTTTAGAGCTCGGTAGGTGGATGTTTCGATCCGTGGGGCGAACGGAGCTGAGCGGCAGCTGCGTGTACAACTGGATCAAACCCTTTAGTGATTAAAACATATACCGGTCCGCGCCCCGAGCTGCGGGGGGGACCATTGCATGGCTGGATGTTTACGGGACCGTCGGTAATTAGCCGTTAGCTAGCTCGCTAGCCGTGTAACGGCAGCAGCGTGCAGCCAGCTGCCGAAGCAGGATGAGCCAGGTCCAGTTTGTGAGGTCGCATATGTCACCTGGTTGTCAGGTAGGAGGCCAATTCGGTGTTCCGAATCAATCCGTTTGGCCCGACCACCGCGTTCGTTGTTCTGGATTCTTTCTTCTGGTCCTGTTGAAGTAGATCCACTATCTGATAATGTAAACAGCTGGAACCACTTGTTGATGCGGACTCTGCGTCCAGGTGACTGGAACATTATCCCTCTGCCGTGGGTTCGGATTTTTAGTTCAGTTTACTACTAAGAAAGGTCAGAGGTTCGGATGAATCGGGTCTGAGTTTATTCAGCAAGCATCTCTGTTGAGACTGACCCATGCTCCCATCATTGACAACCCAGCTGCTCTTGCAGAACTTCTGCCAGAACCTGGTTTGGTTTGGGTTTCTGATGACCGCAGCCGGTCCAATCAGCACCACCCTCCTTCTCATCTCTATCATACATTTATAGTATCCCAGCATCTCGGCTCTGTAGATCCATTATTTCCCAGAATCAGCAGTTTCAGTTTGTTGTCTGCTCTGTTCTGTATTATCTCATCAGTTTGGTTTCCATACATTATTATTTATTATTATTTTTAATACTAATGCCCTGTAGCCTAGCATTTGACTGGTCCATAGGCTCCAGCAACTAATCAGAGTCCAAAGCGCTGTCTTCCTATGCTGATGCTTATTTACCTGTTTATATTTATCTAACTGACTGGGCCATGAGCTTTCAGGGTTCTTATCATCAGCTGAGTTTCATCATCCTCTCTGGTTCTTACCCAGGTCCAGCCTCAGTGGGTCCACTTGCTTAGTAGAAACATTGTGCTGCTCTTTTATAAAGGGGACACATGCCTTTTTTAAACCAGTTATAACTGGTTTCTAGCATCGCAAAGTGATTTCAGCAGCTTTGTTTTTGCTGTATGCAGTACATCTCAAAACCAGCCTTTTCAGGTCTCTGTCACTTAATGTAAATAAGCTGTTAGCCACGCCTTCCCATCTTCTGATTGGCTGCTATAAGATGAGGAGATTCTGATAGTAAACAGGTGGATGAGTTTAACATATGAAATGTTAACAGAAGTAGTAGAGAGCAACATAGCAGCACAAAAAGTCCCCTTAAAGATCCTTTCATTCAGACACTGTTGAAATGTTTTTGATGTCCTGAATAGATTTTAATTTGTCTCATTTTTGATCTCATACTTCGTGTGTTTGCTCTTGGATTTGTGGAGCAGATCTGTGGATTTGGTTCAAGATGTCCATGAGATCAGGAAAGAACACAGGTCCTTTTGCTCGTTAATGTGGTTTATTGAGCGTTTCCCCTTGGGATGTCCCGATCAGGTTTTTTTGCCCTCGAGTCCGAGTCATTGGATTTCGAGAATCTGCTGATACCGAGTTATTTAATCAGCTTTTTATTTTAATTTTTAACAGCAGATCACTTCTGTGAGCTAGCTTGAACAATCAAGTAATAAATAACATAAATTCTTCACTTTTGGACTTTATTGCAAATATAAAAACAGATAGCACTTCAACTTCAAATACCTGGCAGGGGTCTATTTAGCCTCGGCCCCCAAAATGCTTAGATGCGTCCCTGGGCATGGGACGGAGTTTTGAAGATGATCTGAATTGTATCAACTATATAAATACTACATGCTGATAAATCATGGCTTTATACAGGTACACACGTGTAGTGGGATCAATCTACCTACATTTTATTTTTGAAGAACTTTGTTTTGTTTTCTTGGTTTTTATTTTCCTGTCTTCCTGTCCTGTCTGTCTCTGATCTTCCTGTCCTGTCTGTCTCTGACCTTCCTGTCCTGTCTGTCTCTGATCTTCCTGTCCTGTCTGTCTCTGATCTTCCTGTCCTGTCTGTCTCTGATCTTCCTGTCCTGTCTGTCTCTGACCTTCCTGTCCTGTCTGTCTCTGATCTTCCTGTCCTGTCTGTCTCTGATCTTCCTGTCCTGTCTGTCTCTGATCTTCCTGTCCTGTCTGTCTCTCATCTTCCTGTCCTGTCTGTCTCTGATCTTCCTGTCCTGTCTGTCTGTCATCTTCCTGTCCTGTCTGTCATCTTCCTGTCCTGTCTGTCTCTGATCTTCCTGTCCTGTCTGTCTCTGATCTTCCTGTCCTGTCTGTCTCTAATCTTCCTGTCCTGTCTGTCTCTGATCTTCCTGTCCTGTCTGTCTCTGATCTTCCTGTCCTGTCTGTCTCTGATCTTCCTGTCCTGTCTGTCTCTCATCTTCCTGTCCTGTCTGTCTCTCATCTTCCTGTCCTGTCTGTCTCTCATCTTCCTGTCCTCAGTGTCCTGTCTGTCTCTGATCTTCCTGTCCTGTCTGTCTGTGATCTTCCTGTCCTGTCTGTCTCTGATCTTCCTGTCCTGTCTGTCTCTCATCTTCCTGTCCTGTCTGTCTCTCATCTTCCTGTCCTGTCTGTCTCTGATCTTCCTGTCCTGTCTGTCTGTGATCTTCCTTTCCTGTCTGTCTCTGATCTTCCTGTCCTGTCTGTCTCTGATCTTCCTGTCCTGTCTGTCTCTAATCTTCCTGTCCTGTCTGTCTCTCATCTTCCTGTCCTCAGTGTCCTGTCTGTCTCTGATCTTCCTGTCCTGTCTGTCTGTGATCTTCCTGTCCTGTCTGTCTCTGATCTTCCTGTCCTGTCTGTCTCTCATCTTCCTGTCCTGTCTGTCTCTCATCTTCCTGTCCTGTCTGTCTCTGATCTTCCTGTCCTGTCTGTCTCTGATCTTCCTGTCCTGTCTGTCTCTCATCTTCCTGCATCTCCCGGTCCACCAGAAAAACTCCTGCCTGCTTCCTTCTTTTTCACCTCACAAGTAACTTTTTAACCAGCAGATCAAATTGATCTACTGACCGCAAAAAAAGCGAAGTGTGCGCCGCGCTGCCCGGCTGCGCCAGTGATGAGCGCTGCAGCGACGAGCGCGTCCACACGTCAGACAGAACTTACCAGAGAAAATGAACGGACATGAATGACTGTGTGTTAATTATATATTTTTGGGTGATGCCACTTAGAAACTTAGAAAATGTTGCTGTGGCCGTGTGCAGAAGGCAGCTGGAGTTCATGAATAATCAGCGGTCTGCCTGCCGCTCTGCATCTCTGCTCAGAAGAATCCCCGCTACGCTGAGTCCATATAAATAATATAATAAAGGTAGAAACTGGATATTTTTGTGCTCCTTCTGGGTGTGGAAGTTAAGGGCATCAGGGGAGCCTGACAACCTTTAAGGAGAACCAAGTTGCTCTCCTGTAATTTGAACCCAGTAGCCGACTCTGGATCGGGAAGTAAAGCCCGAGTCCCGATCAGTCTGAAACCACGTGATCGGGGCCGATTTCTGATCATGTGATCAGATCGGGACATCCCCAGTTTCCACAGATGTGATGATCCTTGGCAGGGAAACGTAATACGTGTGATACCAGATGAAAATGATAAATGTCTCGTTTTCTGTTGTCACCTCAACCTGAATGATTAAGAAGCACTTGCCTTTCATTTTCCCGCCAAAGTAAAACGTCCATCCAATCCTAGTTGGTTGGAGCAGGGGGCCATCCTCCTGTGCTTCCCGCCAGGGGCATGCACTGATCACTACAATGGTGTGACACCTCCCACGTTAACCCACAAAAATCTCAAATCCAAGCGATCCTGCGAGCTTTGTGTTGGATCAGCGGTCCATTCCCATTGCAGGGCTGCGGTCTAAACATCTGAATCGTGACGTCATCAAGAGGAGGGAGCTAATTTATTTCTGTTGCAGGTTGTGCGATGGAAGTTTGTTTCTTCGGGGGATCCATTGAGCTGAAGCATCAGCGCCTGGACTGAACCCTCACCGGTGTCCCCTCACACACACACACACACCCCTGCGGAGTCATATTTTCTCACCTTCAGGCAAGACGCTGCCGGTCCACGGTGCATTGCTGCGTCTTCATCGTCCACCATGTCGGACGCCCCAGAGGCTGCACCAGCCAGCCCCGCCGCCATCACCAACCCGCCCCCTCCTGAGGTGTCCAACCCAAACAAACCTGGCAGGTAGGAAGCAGCTGGTCCAGAAGGTCGTGTATGCACATGCGTGTTCTGATCCTGCGTTTGTGTGTGTGTGTGTGTGCTTCAGGAAGACCAACCAACTGCAGTACATGCAGAACGTGGTGGTGAAAACCCTGTGGAAGCACCAGTTTGCCTGGCCATTCTACCAGCCGGTGGACGCCATCAAGCTCTGTTTGTGGGTAGGTCACAGCTCTGCTTTGTTAGCCCTGGTTCCATCGAGCCGGTCCTGAAACCACCCTCACCCGTGTGTGTGTGTGTGTGTGTGTGTGTTGGTATAGGACTACCACAAGGTGATCAAGAACCCCATGGACATGGGAACCATCAAAAAGCGTTTGGAGAACAATTATTACTGGAGCGCCAGTGAAGCCATGCAGGACTTCAACACCATGTTCACCAACTGTTACATCTACAACAAGGTACGTGCACAGGTTATGCCCTGACTAGGAACGGGCAATAAGGCCCAAAATCTGTATCGTGATATAATCTGAATCATGTGTAGTAATATATACATATATCAGAATATATTCTTTTCTTCTTTTGAAGTCAAAATTACTGTTGAACCATCTCGCATACCAGATAAATATCGTCCAAAGCTATTCAAACAACACTTAAAGGGGCATTGTGGAAGTTTGACAGCCAAAACATGTATAGAAATAATAAATGTCTTCTTCATACATTCTCCTGCAATGCCCTGGTCCTGTAGAATGAGCCCTGGCATTTTTACTGTGATTGCCTGTTTTTCTGTAAAATCACAGAAAAAGAGAGATGCTCGGGTCGAGCAGGCTGCTTCATGCGCGTTCACGCTCAGGCATCGCCCGTAGCATTTGCTATCCGTAGCTTTAGCAGCAGAGAGAGAGGCAGTGCCACTTTGTCGCTGTTCCTAACGCCTAGTGACAAAGCTAGCTACATTTCTGAGGACCCTTAGCTACTTTCTGTAGAACTTTCTTCTAGATATTTCCTGCAAATTAGCAACAAAATAGCCATTTTCACTCTGAACCGTTCTTTGAACGTTGTTTCAGCTGTCATCAAGGATATAAATGTTACAGATACAAAAGACGTCACTGGAGCTTTAGCTCACCTAGTAAGACGTCGGACTCTCGTGCAGAAGTCCTGGGTTTGATTCTGGGTGTGAACATAGTTTATTTAGAGTTTCGTTTTTACAATAATGGTATATTTTTTTACAGTAAGATGCCCAAATTTTTATTTGAGACTCGCCGAACGGCATTGAATTCACAGATAAAAAAGATGTGGGTTCAACTTTCATTTTGGAACAATTTTTCAAGCAAGGGAAGGGAATGATCTGAGCATGCAGGAGGACTGACCCATCATAAACCTTTGTCGGCTGTGCTGAAGAGAAAGATACAGAACCAAATTATTTAATTAATTAGCTGCGCGTTCTCCTGTCCTCTGTCCTCCGGGACACACACACAGTTATTTTCGTTGAGGAGTGTGCACGTACAGCCTGTGCGCCTCGTGCACAAGCCTACTATTGAAGCTGCCGTTACGCTTTTGGCCTGAGGGGGCGATCACGAGCATAAAAATTCAAAACTCCGTAAAGTCCCTTTAATGAGCAAATTTTGTTTTGAAAAAATAAAAACCTTTCAAGTAATTTTATGATTCTTTTTCCAAACAATGCAGCACAAAAATTCTCATAACAAGAATAAATAGATTTTAAATAACATACATAGTGAACTCATTCGCCGCCAGCGTTTCTCACAGAACATTGCGCGCTAGGATGATGTCGACGCCAAAACAAAGCGGAGACGCGCCTCTTACATCAGGAAGAATCCGGGCGTTTCCAGTGTTATCCGTTCTTTCATAATCTGTTGTTGAATTGTGATCGGCAGACGCTTTTCCGGTTCGCACCTCACTTTTCTTTTACAGCAGCGGCCCAAAACGATCTCCTAACACATGGATGTTCTGCTTCCTGATCACGTGACGTGTGATGTATGCGGATGAAGATCGGCTTTAGAGCTGGGATGTTTGTTCTCACGGTGCGGGGGCTCGTCCGACGCCCACTGTAACAAAAAAAGCAGAGGCATTGGCAGCGAACGGTTGGATTTAAAATGACGACTTTAGTCGTCAATGGCAGTGAATGAGTTAATGTGGTTGAATTGAAGTGAAAAAAATTCTTCCTGCTTCATTTAATCATTTTTAATATTTTTCTTTTGCTCGTAGAAATAAAGTGTTGCTTAAATAACGAATAACTGCTTGTTAAATGATGCTTTGCTGCGTTTTTATCAACAACATTAAGATGAGGTTGGAGGTTTGTCCTATTTCCGTCCCTTTAGTTGAGCAGCGCTCAGATCAGCTGACGTGAGAGCGGCGCAGCGTTCAGACTCGACCCTTTTTTGTAAATGGGAGAAACGGCTGAAACTGGCCAGGAAGTTTTGTTAAAGCCATATCACAGAAGATGTCCCAAAAGTTTGGAAGCCTTTGTGTTAACTGTGCGTTTAAAACTGGACAACATCAGTGTTGCCAACTCAGTGACTTTGTCGCTGTTCCTGACGACTTTTTGACCCCCCTCAACGACTTTTTTTCCAAAAAGCGCCTAGCGACATTTCTCAGGAACCGTTGCTACTTTCTGTAGAACTTTCTTGTAGATTATCCCCACAGATTAGCAACAAAGAAACCATTTGCACTCTGAACCGTTCTTCCGGGAGTAAGGAAAGAGAACGATAATCTGCACATGTGCACGAGGACTGACCAATCATAAACCGTTTTCGGACGGGCCGATTCGCCGAAGACAAAGGTAGAGTTGCAGAGCTGGAGACCGCCGATTTACGTCTGCTGCTGCTGCAGGCTCACGCTTCTGCTAGAGACGGCGCAGGCGTCAACCTGCCATCTCTGGTTCTGCAGCCGTCAGACACTTTGGCTTTTCCTGCATTTGGCAAATAAAGTCATCGGGAGTTTCAGCTACCGTCCCGTTTACACACGCAGCTCTGTGGCTCGTCTGAATTTCCTTCAGTGACACAGGGATGGTTATACCAAGAGACACCCGCTCCCTTTTGCTCGGTGCGCCGTTACTATCACGATGGAGAGAAAACTAGAGAAGTTGAGAAACTGGGAGGTGTAAAAAACTGCTTTTTAGGAAAATGTCTGTGAGAATGAGGAGAGCAGGAGGTCTGAGTTATATCCTACATCAGAACTGTTTGGATCACCAGAACCATATGTCTTAATGTCACTTTATTGATACTTTTGGAATTTATTGTACATATCAAAGCAATTTGGGCCATTTTACTCATACTAAATAATAATTTTAACACATAACAGTTTTTATTTTCCTCCCTTTTAGTCCTATTTATATTTTTATATATGTGTGTATATATATATACGTATATATATGTGTGTATATATATATATACGTATATATATGTATATATTTGTATGTATATATACATACATGTATGTATATATACATACATGTATGTATATATATATATATATATATATATATATATATATATATACATAAATATGTGTATATATATATGTGTGTGTGTGTGTGTGTGTGTATATATATATATATATATATATATGTGTGTGTGTGTGTGTATATATATATATATATATATATATATTAGGGCTGCAACAACGAATCGATAAATTCGATGAAAATCGATTACTAAAAGCGTTGGCAACGAATTGCGTCATCGATTCGTTGTGTCGCACAACTCTTCCAAAAGCGCCCCCCCCCCCCCCCCCCCCCTTCCCGAATCCCGCCCGCCATTGCGCGCAGACCAGAGCAAGTCAGATCAGCGCGAGGGAGAGCCGCAGATCAGCGGGAGGGAGAGCCGCAGATCAGCGCGAGTGAGAGCCGGCAGATCAGCGCGAGGGAGAGCCGGGAGATCAGCGCGAGGGAGAGCCGGCAGATCAGCGCGAGGGAGAGCCGCAGATCAGCGCAAGGGAGAGCCGCAGATCAGCGTGAGGGAGAGCCGGTAGCGGCAGATCAGCGCGAGTGAGAGCCTGCAGACTTGCGCTGCTGCGAACCGGTTCCGCATTGTTGCACAGCGATCCAGGCAGCTGCTTCCAGCGCACGGTCCATTCTCAAAGTGGCGCAACCAAAAAACTATAATTAGCACACGATCGTTCTTGTCTGCACATCTTCTCTATTTTCTGTCTTATTTGTGCCTGAAGCTCGCTACTGCGGAGCTCATCACCTGTGCTGTGGTGATGTCACCTCACGCAGCATCGAAAACGCGCTCTGCGCTTTTCGGTCAGGAGATCCCTTTGATCTGCTCAAAAGTAACTGATGAGGTGAAAAGGTAAGAATCCAGGCAACAGATTTTCTGGAGAATTAAGAGGAGATGCAGGAAGATGAGAGACAGACAGGACAGGAAAATAGTTCAATAAAAACAAAAAATCAATCAATCAATCAATCAATCAATCAAAGCTTTATTTATAAAGCGCCTTCCGCAACCCTGTCAGGAAGCCCAAAGCGCTGAAAGTGAAACAAAGCGCTGAAAACAAAGTGTTGAAAAGTAAAATGTAGGTAGATTTATCACCACGACACGTTTTTACCTATAAAAAACAATAAGTTATACACATGTCATATTTATACATCTGATACAATTCAGATCACCTTCAAAACTCAGTCACACACCCAGGGCCGTTTCAAGACATTTTGGGGGCCAAGGCAAAATGACCCCCCCCCCCCCCCCCCCCCCCAATAACTGGGCTCCCCAGAAGCCTCTGTGTAATTCATGCCCTCTCCAGTAGTGTTAGTTATATGGTGTTTATAAAAGCCCCTCAGACATTACTGACATGTTCTAATATTATCAGATGAAAAACTAAATTATCAGACATGCTGTCTCATCTGCTTCTTTTATAAACTTGCAAAAAGTAACAAAACCATTTGAAAGCCACTATTTGTGGATTCTCTGAAAGTTTCCATGGAGTGTGTGACTAGTTATTTTTTCATTGATCCTATCGTCTAATCTCACAGCTGAAACAAGCATCGTTAATAATCTGCACAGGAAGCGTACCGATGCTGTAGTAAAACAAAAGGTATAATAATTTATTATTAATAAAACCTTGTTGCAGAACTAAAGCAGAAAAATTTGATTTTGCATTAAATATGCTAAATATTTATATATGAATTGTTTTAGAGCCCTTTAATTGGCAGAATCTGATATTAATTTAGTTCTTACAAAAAATGGGTCCCAACATGGTTTGTGTGGCATTGCCATAGTGTGACGTCATAGGCACAGATCCCCTGTCCTCTTGTTTGGAAATGGAAATATGGTCACCCTACATTAAACAAAGTGTCCACCCGGGCTTTTGCACTGCACAGAGACGCTTCGCTGCCTACGACTGAACGTCAGTTGAGAGTCAGTCTCATGCAGAATGACCAATGAAGAGAGGGCCTCAAGTTAAGACCCTCTCCTCACTGGTCAGTCCACACGAGGTGGGTCAAAGGTTACTCTGGGCGGGTTACGTGTTGTCAGGCATTCAAGTATTGAGTATATTTACTGCATATTACAGTAAAATATTCTGTATGTGACCACATTATGGTGATCCTTGGGTCGTGATGATGGAGCCCTTGAATATTGTTGCCCAGGGTACAACAAAGTGTTAATCTGGCCCTGGTTCCGCCGTCACATTCCCGCAGAAACTGGTTGATCACACCGGGGCCATACTACTAGCATGTGGTTTTACAACCACAATGTCCTCAGAAGCAAAAACGCTTTTAAAAGGGAGGGAGGAGTCCTAACTGTTGCTGCAGGCGTGTTGTGTGAGAGTGCAGTTATATACTGGTTAATATATTTTTGGGTTCAGTTGCTTTCATGTGGCCTAATGTGAGTCTATTTGGGATCATTGGAATGATCAGCAGCATTTCTTGATGTGACTTTATGGCAGTTGCCCAGGGCATCATCGCAAGGAGGATGGCATTCATTTACTTTTGTTTTATTTGGTATTTTTTCAGTCATTTTTGGAAATAGTGATCAATTTTGATTAATTCACAGCCTATGTTTAATTACATTTAAAATATATGTCAACAGATGAGATCAAACAAAACAGATGAGAATTGCCCTTAAGCTGTTTAACTTGGACCAAGCATTTTAGGTCACAGATAGATGTAGCTTAGGGTCTCTGTCTATACACCTTATAAGACAATTTAGGTGATGGCATGTTGTTTTTCTGCTATTGAACTGTTTTCTAATAATGTTGTGTTAAATAAAGTGAAGGAAGGAGAGAAATAACGTTTCCCTAGCAGTTTTTAAAAATTTCCCCATGTAATCCGATTAATCGATTAATCGTGTCGAGACCCCATCCGATTAATCGATTATCCAAATAATCGTTTGTTGCAGCCCTAATATATATATATATGTGTGTGTGTGTGTGTGTGTGTATATATATATATATGTGTGTGTGTGTATATATATATATCTCTTAGATGCTATGGGGGAAATGAACGCCAATGTGGCGTGATGATGTCATCAATATGTAAATTAGCACGTGACGTCATCTAGCGACTTTTGGGGGGAACTTCAGCTACTTTCGGTCAAAAACAGTTGGCAACACTAGACAACATATAAGGGAGTTAGTGTTAATGAGCTATTAACACAGATGAATGTTTACTGCAGATGTTTATCTGGTCAACATTTGACTCCTTAAAGGTGCTGTTCACTGAAAAACAAACATATTTAGCACCCCCTAGTGTCCGTTTGTTAAATCAGACAAAGTCTCATGACAGAATAAAACAGGAAAACATCTGCCTCCCACGTCCAGAAACAAACAAGTCGTATCCATCTAATGACTTGTGTGCGTTTTGATATAATTACGCATGGCTGCGAGGGACGATGAGCCAGCTTGGAGGCGGTCCTGTGTGTGAAAATGTGGTGATGTGGTGTGTAGGTCAGTGTGACCCCCGGTAACAGCCTTGTTATGATAAAACACCAAATGTGTTGTGTAATTGGAGCGGGCATCCTCTAACGTTGCTCGTCAGAATAAACGGAGCATCCGTTGCCACGGCGATCATTCAGAATGAATTAACCCACAAAATGTAGAAGAGATCCGGTTACACCGCCGGTTCCGACGCCTGTTGTCCTCGCAGCTCGCTAGCGGTTTCAGACGGATCTGGAAGCTTTGTGCTAAACACGGTTAGCTTTGAGATGTTTCTGTTCGTCCCTCATACCAGAGCAACCTCAGATGAGTGCTTTTGCCTTAAAATAAAGCCTCCTAACTCAAGGGATGAGCCAGAGTTGAGTCTACACAAAGCTGGTTTAAACTGGATCGCTAGTGTCTTTGCCTGTTTTGATAAAGTGTGTGTGTGTGTGTAGCCTACAGATGACATCGTCCTCATGGCTCAGGCTCTAGAGAAGATCTTCTTGCAGAAAGTGGCCCAGATGCCTCAGGAGGAAGTGGCTCTGTTGCCTCCAGCTCCAAAAGGAAAGAACAAGAGCAAACAGCCGGCCGCCACCACAGGTGAGGCGAACCCATCGGACCAAACAGAACCATTCAGAACCACTGTTATACTAACAAACCGGTATCTTCCCCAGTGAGTCAGCAGGCGGAGTCTTCAGCCTCCCCTCCCGCCTCGTACCCCTCCCCCTCCCCGTCTCAGACACCTGTCATCTCCACCACACCCACACCTGTCCAAGCCACACCCCCTGTTTCTACTCCACAGCCACCACCAGCCATGATGCCATCTGCCCAGCCTGTCGTCAAGGTAACCGCATCACCCAACATAAGTGACGTGGAGTTCCTGTGCTACCTGTGCGGTACAAACCTTTGTGTTTGTCTCCCAACAGAAAAAGGGTGTGAAGAGGAAAGCTGACACCACCACCCCCACCACATCCGCCATCTCTGCCGGTCGTGCCGACTCTCCATCTCCTCAAGACACCAAACCGGCCAAACTGGCATCATCTCGCCGCGAAGCCGCCGCACGCCCTGCTAAGACCCGCCGGGAGACAGTGGAAGAGTTGGTGGTCGGTGATGTTGGGGGCGGGGTTGCAGCGGCAGGCGGGAGGAAGGCCGGAAAGGTGGGCGAGCAGATGAAACATTGTGACGCCATCCTGAAGGAGATGCTGTCAAAGAAACACGCCGCCTACGCGTGGCCGTTCTACAAACCTGTGGACGCGGAGGCGCTGGAACTGCACGACTACCATGACATCATCAAACACCCCATGGACCTGAGCACTGTCCGGGTAAGGGCAACACCTGTTCTGGGTCACTGAAACCTGGGCAGCTCTGTGTTGTTGGGAGGATGTCGAACAGGTTTAAAGGCTCCTAGAACAACGTTTGTTTACGTCAGGAGCCTCGATTGGACATCTGAAACGCTGTTGTGGCTGACAACGGCCCAGGAGCCCTGATAAAAGACCAAACACAACCCCGTAATAAAGGCCTACGATGGGAAGACTTTCCCCCCCACCACCACACACACACACACACACACGCGGCCAGTACATGAATCTTAAATGAGCTGGATGCCCTTTGACCTGTTTACCTGACCATGACTCTACGATGCTACCTTAGGCTTGAGGCTCTGCGTTCAGTATCTGATAAACTCAACAGGCAGACTATGGCACTCATTCCAGTCTGGATATTCCCAGTACTTCCCGGAACGTTACAAATCAATCAAATCAAAGATACTTTATTAATCCCAGAGGGAAATTAGATTTTCAGTACACACAATTCAGAGATCAGACATACATGGGCAAGACACATGACAAGAATTGGTGACTGTGGTCATTCGCAACCTGAGTCGCGCTACCTTAATAGAGATAAGAGGGTTACATGAGGATTGGTTCAGGTGGAGGGAAAAAAGGCACTTCAGAGTTACCCTCCAGCAGGAGGGCAGCTTTGCTCTGCAAAAAACACCTCAGACAGAAATGCAACAGACTTCAGACAACATAAGTGTCCACTAGGTGGGGTGGTGGTTGGGACTATCCCCACTTCAGTTCCTGCAGCCACGATAAGCATCACCTCAGTGTGGATAGGGGGAGGAGCACTGAGGGTTGGAGGGTTGCAGTGACCCTGGAACGTTTCAGCGACCTTCCCGCAGTCCCGCCCAGGCTGTGAAAGGAGACAGAGTTGAGTTGCCATAGCGACGGCACATTCCACATATCTTCTGAGGCGGGAGTTTTCGTTGTAGCCTTGCAGGCTCAAGGGCGCCAGATTCCGATTAGAAATTGTTTTGGGGCCAGACAGAGATAATTTCCTCTCTGTCTTACAGTTTGTTGGTCCTCAACCTCTCAAAATCCCAATAATGGACATTAATCTATCCCAATCCGTGCTGATTCGTCCACTCTCTCCTTGATGGCATCCATCTTTTGTGCCAAAGAATGAATCTCGGTCAAAGTCCCAAGCTTACGATTCATCTCGACAATTATGTGAGTCTGTGAATTCACAGTGCGGTGCAAACCATCTCTGAGCTCCGGGATCAGGCCGATATTCCTCGACAGCTCGTTAATTTTCCGGTAAGCCAGGTAGCCTCCAAGGCCAATGAGCAGGAAACCCGACACCAACACCACGAATATCCACAGGTCTTCAGAGTCCTCCACAGACAGCTGAGGTAAATCAAGTTCCACTGTTTCCAGGAGTCCATGATGTGTCCAACTGGGTCTGTCCCAGGGGGCATCCGGGAGCCCCTTCTCCCGTTCTCATCGTTGAAAAAAATTTGATCAATCGCGTTGAGAGACCAACTGACGAGGTCCCTTTTAGTGAATTTCAGTTTCCAGAAAAATGCAGAAGCAGCCGTGCACACACAGACAGACTAAGGACCTTGAGGATAAGATATGGAGGAGAGGAGGAAAATAGCGTCTGCACCCTCCAAGAGCCGGAAGCAAGAGATTACACGAGTGCTCCAACATTCTTCTTTGTTGTTTTCCTCTCGTTCAACAAGAGTGCTAACATTAGCTAAAGATAGCATTAGCAGTAGCTCAGGCATAGCATTGCTACCAACATTTATACATCGCTAATCGTATGCTGCATTCGACACCACAGGTTGCCTGTATTCATCCACAACAAGGTAAACGCGGTTTGGAGCTGCAGAACCTCTCTAACTCACCACATCTAATAGGTCAGAGTCTGATTTAGAACTAAAACTGATTTAGTCCAAATCCGGCCTGCGTGGTGTTTCACAGGGACGGTTATTACTGCTGCACAACAGGCTTGTTTCTGATCTGGCGTCAAGGTTCAGTCCCATGAACTGTACAATCGGACCTGCAGGTTCCAGAACCGCTGGGTCCAAACTGGACTCATAAAAGTGTCCCGGTTCGAGGGCTCCGTGTCTGACCTGCCCTGTTTGATCCTGACTGTTCACGGCCCGCCGGTCCGTCAGCTGACCAGTCGGAGTAGATGAGGTCTTAAAGGGGGAGGAGCTTATTTCTGCAGACAACAATAATGCGCTCTGTGTGTAAAGTTTTGAGTTTGATAAAGTACGGTGACACCTGACTGGATGTGCACACGGTGTGCACGTGTATTCACACTGGTGTGTTTGTGTTGAACAGAAAAAGATGGATAAAGGAGAGTACTCCGACCCACAGAGCTTCGCCACCGATGTTCGGTTAATGTTCTCCAACTGCTACAAATACAACCCTCCAGACCATGAGGTGGTCGCCATGGCCCGCAAGCTGCAGGTATGTCACGCCCTCACCTGCTCAGGTGCTGCTCCCGTCTCCCAGTCAGCTCTGACGCTGTTTTTCTGATCAGGACGTGTTTGAGATGCGTTTTGCTAAAATCCCTGATGAGGGTCTAGAGGTGTCCGACCCATCTACCACTCCCTTGGTCAGTAAAAGCACCGCCTCCTCCGACAGCAGCAACAACTCCTCCTCTGATGAATCCTCCGACTCCGAGGAGGAGCGAGCCACGCGACTGGCCGAGCTACAGGAGCAGGTTGGTGCTGCCGACCAATCACAGGTCAAGAACATCCCAGTTTTCTTCTTTAACATCCTATAGATTGACTGATGTGTAAACTGTTAAGTTGATGATGCGATGAAGGCGTGGCTGCATGCAGGTATTGATTATTAGTGTATTCCTCCAGCTGAAGGCCGTGCATGAGCAGCTGGCCGTCCTGTCGCAGGCACCCGTCAGCAAGCCAAAGAAGAAGAAAGAGAAGAAAGACAAGGAGAAAAAGAAAGACAAGGACAAGGACAAAGGAAACAAAAGCAAGATAGAAGAAGAGAAGAAGCCTAAGGCTACACCCCAACAGCCAAAACCAGCCAATCAGAAGAAGGCGCCAGCCAGGAAAGCCAACAGTACAGTAACAGCCACCAGGTACGAACCTCCTGAGCCTTAACCGGCAGAGTTCATCTTCATACTGGCCCGTTAGCTGTACGGTCAGAGTTTCTTTAACCAGTCAGAAAAACTGTTTTCAGGCAACCGAAGAAAGCCAGTAAAATGTCAGGCAGTGGTTCAGCCAACGGAGACGACGGCGAAGAGTCGTCCCTACCAATGTCGTACGACGAGAAGCGTCAGCTGAGTCTGGACATCAACCGGCTTCCGGGGGAGAAGCTGGGCCGCGTTGTACACATCATCCAGTCCAGAGAGCCATCGCTCCGAGACTCCAACCCCGATGAGATTGAGATTGACTTTGAGACGCTCAAACCCTCCACACTTCGAGAGCTGGAGCGCTACGTCAAGTCCTGCCTGCAGAAGAAGCAGAGGAAGCTAATGCGTGAGTTTTAAGTTGCTGTGTTTGCTAAAGCCCTGCTAGTTAGTTGATAACCTGTAAACATTAGCTTATCGCTATGCTAGCGCTCTTTTTCATCAGCTGGAGTTGAAACATTCCCATTTCTGGGATCCGCCATCGCTCTGTTGACCGTATAGTCTGTTGGAGCTGCAGAACAAGCACAGTGGAAGGTCACACCAAAAAGAGAATAGACGACCCGGAAGTGACGGAAAAAAAACTGCGTTGATTAAAAAAATCTAATTAAAACATGTTTTATAATAGATTGAATCAAATTATTCTAGCACGTTTCTATTCTAGTTCCAAGCATACCAAGACAGGCCAAAAACACGATGCCATACTCTGATTGGCCAGACGGAGGAGTCACTGGTTTACTAAGGGGCGGAGTCACTGGTTGCCTAGAGGGTGGGGTCTACCTTGTTTACTAAGGGGCGGAGTCACTGGTTGCCTTGAGGGTGGGGTCTACCGTGTTTACTAAGGGGCGGAGCCACTGGTTGCCTAGAGGGTGGGGTCTACCGTGTTTACTAAGGGGCAGAGTCACCGGTTTCCTTGAGGGTGGGGTCTACCTTGTTTACTAAGGGGCGGAGTCACCGGTTGCCTTTAGGGTGGGGTCTACCTTGTTTACTAAGGGGCGGAGTCACCGGTTGCCTTTAGGGTGGGGTCTACCTTGTTTACTAAGGGGCGGAGTCACCGGTTGCCTAGAGGGTGGGGTCTACCTTGTTTACTAAGGGGCAGAGTCACCGGTTGCCTAGAGGGTGGGGTCTACCGCGTTTACTAAGGGGCGGAGTCACCGGTTGCCTTTAGGGTGGGGTCTACCTTGTTTACTAAGGGGCGGAGTCACCGGTTGCCTAGAGGGTGGGGTCTACCTTGTTTACTAAGGGGCGGAGTCACCGGTTTCCTTGAGGGTGGGGTCTACCTTGTTTACTAAGGGGCAGAGTCACCGGTTGCCTTTAGGGTGGGGTCTACCTTGTTTACTAAGGGGCGGAGTCACCGGTTGCCTAGAGGGTGGGGTCTACCTTGTTTACTAAGGGGCGGAGTCACCGGTTGCCTAGAGGGTGGGGTCTACCTTGTTTACTAAGGGGCAGAGTCACCGGTTGCCTAGAGGGTGGGGTCTACCGTGTTTACTAAGGGGCGGAGTCACCGGTTGCCTTTAGGGTGGGGTCTACCTTGTTTACTAAGGGGCGGAGTCACCGGTTTCCTTGAGGGTGGGGTCTACCTTGTTTACTAAGGGATGGAGTCACTGGTTGCCTTGAGGGTAGGGTCTACCTTGTTTTTGTTTGAGACACTTTTCATTTTTTTATCTTGAAATAAGGTTTATGAATGAACTTAACTAACTAATGGAAACGGATCGATCCTGTTATGAGCTCGATACACGGGAGGCGACATACGACGGCGATCAGCGAAATTCGTCGCTTTCGCGTTTATTACCTGGCACACGGGAGGCGGCCAGCGGCAAAGCCGTCGACGTGTTCTGCTGCATGGCGAACTCGAAACTTCCGTTGTTTTGATTGGCTGTGTCAGGTTTGAGGGAATTAAGGTTATTTAAGCGGTTCCGAGTTTAAAAAGCCTTTTCTGTGAACATCTATATCAGGGTGTCCGCAGGGTTTTAAGAAGTATTAAAAAGTGATAAATAAAAATAGTCAAATTTAAGGCCATTAAAAGTGTTAAATTTGTTCTCAGAGGTATTATTTTTTCAGACTATCAGATGTCATATTCTGAACATCGACATAGAAATATATTCCGAATGAAATGTTTTGAACGATTATAAAAATAAAACAAGCCGATTATTTGCTCCTCCCACTTGCGCTGCCCTGAGTTGCAAATGAAGCGCTCCTCCCACAGTGTTGCCAACTTGGCGACTTTGACGCTATTTCTAGCAGCTTTTCAGACCCCCTTCTTGACTTTTTAAATCTTAAAAGTACCTAGCGAACACCTCAGAAACATCTCTGGTAACCCTTAGCTACTTTCTGGATAACTGTCGTCGACATTTCCTGCAGGTTAGCTAAACACTCCGCCTGCGCTCCGGACCGTTCTTCAGGACATTAGGAAAGGGAATGATGTAGTGATGTGTCGGTCGCTAAAGAAACGGCTCTCAGAGCCGGCTCTCTGTTGGATTAACCAGAGTGAGTGACACACACACCGCACCTGCGGACTCCTGAGCCGATAAAAACGGCTAAATGTGCGCGTGCAGCATGCTAAACACACGTGCAGCTTGCCCCTGATTGCTGAGACCGGGTTGGGGGGTGGGGGGTGCAGCTGTGGTTGGGACAATTATTACATTAACTGATGGACTTGTAAATAAATAGTTTATAAATAAGGTAGAAATAAGTTCCTCACGCTGATAAACAATAACTAATCCCTCTGAGGACACGGTGCTAGTGTATTCTCCTACAGCACCTAGACACGACTCAATAAATGTTATGCAAAATTTAGTGAACATCAATTTGCATGTATTTGTTATAAATGCCACTGTATAATTCTTGCTGTCAGTATTTGCAAGATGTTGGTATTTGGGTCTGTACTGGTTAGACTTAAATGAGTTAAACCAAGGTCTATAGCCCTTGGGTCATAAACTATGAGCTATAAGTATATTGGTCTTTTTATACTGGGAATCAGGAGTTAATTTAGTGATCATCTTGTTTCTTGTTTATTTTTGCCCTGATTGTGCCCTGAGCAGTTTTATGACTGAATAAAAACAACAAAAAATCTACATAAATTAAAAAATCATCTTAAATAATCGAGATCTCAATTTCAGTCACAATAATCGTGATTATTGTTTTCGCCATAATTGAGCAGCCCTACTTTAGCATATCCGGTCACATAATGATGACGTCATATTCAGTGGTCGTTGTGCATCATTTCAGGCCTCGTGGTCAGCTGTCTGAACCGCTGAACAGAAGTGCCTGGCTTATTTTCTAAGTAAAATAAATATGTGCAATACGTTGTCAACATCAGTGAGTCTCTAAGTCTATTCTTTTTGTATGTTATATAGTTTAAAATATGTGTAAATAGGTCGCTGCTTAACCCTTTTTAATTTAGTGTTGTGATGGTTTTAAAAAAATTCTGAAGGTAGTAAAAAAAAGTATTAAAAAGTAGTAAATTTTACTTAAGGATTGCTGTATATACCCTGCTATATTCTTTGGTAGAAATATTATACAGTCCTGGGAAATCCGTCACAGCAAGTATCAACTTGTCCTCCATGTTTGCTCGGAGGTGTACGGAGCATCCTGTCCGCTCATTGGTCAGTGAGTGAAACCTCCTTTGATTGGTCCTCGTCCAAGCGACAGCGATGAAAAGTTGAAAATATTTCAACTTTCTGGGTCGCCTGTGCACGACACGTGCACGAGCGCAAAATTTCACTTGCACGTTTTTTGCGTTTCGCTTAGTAGGAGGGAGACCCGCGATTATCGCTTTGTCGCGCATGTCTCATTGAAAATGGAGGAGAGGCGATGGTGCCTCCCGCGTATCGAGTCCATTACGGGTTCCTGCTGCTCCGCTATGATGTCATCGTGACATAAGGGGGGTGATCGGGAATTTGTCACATTAACGCCTCCTTTCTCTGCCTTTTTCAGAGAAAGCAGCAGGGGGCGGGGCCTCGGGAGGTGGCGCCAGTCGTTTGAGTGGGAGCTCCTCTTCCTCATCTGATGACAGCTCTTCGACAGGAACATCCTCTTCCTCCGACACAGACTGAAAACACACACACACACCCAGACATGGAGACTGTATGTAAATAGGCTGACCTGTTCTTTAGCTCCTAGTGTTTTTTGTTTTGTTTATTTTCCTGGAGGAAAATGTGGAGTTGAAGGAGAGAGAATCAGCCTGATCCGAGCCCTCTCTCTGCAACAGAACCACTGAGGCTCCTCCTCCTCACTAATGATCGGAGGTGACCCCAAACCTCTTAACACATTCCAGGATCATTGGTAGAGTACCGCAGGAGAGGAGACATGGCTTCTCTGGTCAGGAGATGCTAATTCTCTGGAGATGAATGGTTGAGGTCTGACGTCACCTGATGAAGAGGAGGAGTCGGGACGTTCCAGAGCAAAGCTTTTAATCAGTTATCAGTTCTGTTCAATAAGTTGGTTTTAACACATCGAGTATCAGTGACAGCTGAACTGGACCAGGTCCTCGAGTCGTCTGAGAGCAGGATTCTTCATCAGGCTTCCGGATGAGGTTTAGATGATCATGGTTCCTGTGGAGATCCACTTGAAGCTGACTGGACCTCAGAAATGTCCAACAGGAGGTCCGGGTCAGAATTCAACCGCAGTCCCATGCAGCTCGGTGCCGCTGTGAGATGCGAACGATGATGAAAATCAGAAAATCCAGGACCCGGTTCTGTCGACCCTGTTCTTACCAGCTGGTTCCAAGTTATTATTCTCACGGATCATCCCTCTACAACACCAACATGACGTATTGAGACCATTTTTGCTCCTCCTCTGACCCAAAATCCATCACTTCCTGTTTGTTCTGGGGTTGTTGTCATGGTAACCAGCCAGGCTTTTGTAAACACTACATTTCCTCTGAGTTTCCAGGTAGCGTGCTGAACTCGTCTATATAAAAATGTCCCAGCTATGGCCCCGCCCCCTTCCTGGTCCGAGCCCCTCCCCTCTTGAGAGGACAAATCCAGAACTGAACTCTTGTTTCTGTAAAAAGCTTCCTGTCGATGCGAGGATGGAGATAAACGCTGGTCGGACCTGGGAGGTGTGGCGAGTGATGGGTTCTGGTTTCTGTTGGTCCAGCTGGATTAGAGTGTGTCACCAGAGTCATGTGACTGGACTGAGGAGAGAGATCACCTGACCACTCATCCAACAGCTTAGAACGCCCACATCACCTGTTGTCAGAAGCCAAGGAGGAGCGAGTTAGGCGCGGCCACTCGTGAGAGGATCACTGTCCTGTCATTGGTGATCAGTTGGCCCTGAGTTGTGTCTGTCAGGTTGCAGTCATTGTTACTGTGGTTACCAAGAAGTAACAGCAGTAAGTGATTGGCTGGACTCCGACTGATCACTTCCTGTGTTCTGATTGCGGCGCCCCCCGGAGGAGCTCAGACTGACCCCACCTCATCAGAGTTCAATCGCCAGCCACTTCCTGTCTGACTTCAACATGTTTTTATTGATGAATCTTTTTTTAACCAGAGGTCATGACCTTCCTGTGTGTGGAGTCGTTATGGAAACAGATCTGACTTAGTTTTTTTTTTTAACTGGTGAAGTTATCCTGACGGATCAATAACCTCAAACAGTTTATCGATCTCTGGAAGTGAGTGACGGACAGCCGTCGCTATGGTAACCCCCATGTTTGTTTTTAGTTGATGGTCAAGCGTCGATGCTTATAGTGGATTTTGTATTTTAATAAGAAAAAGAAAGTGATTTTATGTATCTGCATGCACTCCGGCCGTTCGTTCTTTCTTCTGTCTGTTTGAGCACTGTATAGTAGCTGTAAGTAGCTGTCCAAGGAGGAGACGGAGACAGAGACAGACCCCCCACCCCCTATAGTGTAGACGCAACAAATGCACCCAACAACACCTGGAGGTTTTGTTGTAACTGAAACGGGATCCTTATTTTCTGAGTTCATTTGTTTTCATAAATAAACACATAAACAGGAAGTGACTCGATTCGTACACCGGCTGCTCTACAGGTGAGTCAAGGATCCGGTCCGTGACTGGACTAAAACAGGCTAAACGCCACCCCAGCACCTCAGACCAAAGCCTTTCCTCTTCACAGGATAGAGGAGGGGCCAACTGCTCACCTGTAAACACGTGCTGGGAAGTCAGAACTGACCGGCTGCATACTGAAGGGTGAAAACACTACTCAAAACAAATACTGAGGGAGTGAAAACGCTCATTTTCTGTGGCCGTCTCCAAGTTTAGGTCCTCCACCACCTCCCTTACCCATGGTGTCCCGCAAGGTTCTGTGCTGGGGCCTCTGCTCTTCCTCCTCTATCTGCTTCCTCTTCAGCACATCCTGAGCTCCTTCAAAGGAATCTCCTACCATCTTTATGCTGATGACATCCAACTGTACATCTCCTTTAAGCCCCATGAGATGTCTAAGCTGCAGCTGTTACACACCTGCTTAGACTCCTGGATGGTGGGAGCTTTCTTCAGCTGAATGAAGATAAGACTGAGATCCTCATCTGTGCCCCAGACAAGCTGGTTCCCAAAGTCAGAGACTCTCTTGGTCAGCTTGCTTCCCACACCAAACCTTCTGTAAGGAATCTTGGCGTGACCTTTGACCCAGCTCTCACCCTGGATTCTCATGTCAGTTATCTTGTTCGCTCTTCCTTCTTCCATCTCAGGAACGTTGCTAAGCTGAGTCCCATTCTGTCCCGCTCTGAACTTGAGACAGTTCTCCACACCTTCATCTCCTCACGCTTAGACTACTGTAACTCTCTTTTCACGTGTCTGAGCAGAACCTCCCTGAACCGTCTACAGGTGGTTCAGAACGCCTGCGCTCGGCTTCTGACCAAGTCCTCCAAACACACCCACATCACCCCGCTTCTCCTCCAGCTTCACTGGCTGCCAGTCAACTTCAGGGTTCATTTCAAGATCCTGGTTCTGGTCTATAGGGCCTTACATGATAACTGATAAATGACCCGCACTTGTATAGCGCCTCTCAGAGTAAGGACTCCAAAGCGCTTCACACTACAGTGTATCATTCACACACTGATGGTGATGAGCTACGATGTAGCCACAGCTGCCCTGGGGCGCACTGACAGAGGCGAGGCTGCCGAGCACAGGCGCCACCGGTCCCTCCGACCACCACCAGCAGGCAAGGGGGGTTAAGTGTCTTGCCGGGATCGAACCTGCAACCTTCCGATTACTGGACAACCCGCTCAACCTGTTCAATTCAATTCAATTCAAGTTTATTTATATAGCGCCAAATCACGACAAGAGTCGTCTCAAGGCACTTCACATAATAAGCATTTGAGCTACTGCATGGACAAGCACCATCTTACATTGGTGATCTTCTTAGTCCCTACACCCCCAGCAGGTCCCTGAGGTCCAGTGACCAAAGCCTACTGGTTGTGCAGCACCAGGCTAAAGGTCAAAGGTGACAGATCATTTGCTGCTGTGGCCCCAAGACTCTGGACCTCTCTCCCCCTGAGCCTGAGATCAGTGGACTCAGTGGTCTCCTTTAAAAAGCAGCTGAAGACTCACTTGTTCAAGCTGGCTTTTGTATGACCTTCTTCACCTCTCTCTCTTTATTCTGCTCTCCCCACCTATTCCACCTTCCTCAGGATCCACTGATTTCCCTCTTTCCTGTTCACTCTCTCTCTTTCTTAACATGTTTTAATCACATTTGTCTATTTTTGCTAATTTTAACATATTTTTAAACATTTTCTAAATGCTTTTTTATATTTTTACAATTTTTGTTTTTGTGAAGCGCCTCGTGATTTTTATCTTGAGAGGCGCTATAGAAATGATATTTTCTTCTTCTAGTCGAGCTGTATGGAAGAAGCACGGGACTCTTGGTGGACCCCAGCAAGCTTTATTTTACAGTGGGATGCTAGGAGAAGTCCTGAGCAGCACCCAGAACCACTAAATTCATGTGAGGGTGATGAACTGAGAACATTCCAAGCAGGTTGATGAAAATAAGCCCAAAACACTCAACTTCTTGAAACATCAACGAGGTCGGTGGACATGGTTTGGGTTGAATCTGTAACCTGCCAGACAAGCATGAGGGTTAAGTTAACAAATCAAGTTCAGTGGATCTGCTGATGGCTACGTGGAGGTTTGGTTGGTCCCAGGTCTGAGTTCTAGTTCTTTACATGATGCTGCAGATCCTGGACTGGCCCTCAACACCCTGCAGGCTCCTCTTGTCCCGGATCAGAACCGATTGGTTACCGTAGCTGCTGTACCAGGCAGACTGGCTCCGGGTCAGGTAGGTGGGGGGTGGCGCCATCTGCAGCTCCAGTTGCTGCTGCTGCCAGACCAGCAGGGACGTGTCCTGGTACCGGAGCCGGCTGTATGACTCGGACAAGGCCTTCGCTGCCAGCGGGGCCCTGGTATGGCTGGCAGGATGACCAGTTGGACCTGGTTCTGATACAACAGCTGGATCACAGTCCGACATTCTAAACGAACGGAAGTGGTCCAGACTGACTTGGTTCTAATCCAGTCATGTCCACCTGGACCAGGTGGGATGAAATTAGGTAAACATTTACGAATCAAATAAGTCTGTAGGGTCCAGAAGGTGCTGGTTCTCCAGATAATATCAAGCTTCAGGTAAGGTCAAAGGTCACGTGTAAAATGATAACAGAATCACGTGTGACCTTTGACCCGCAGAGGGAGTATGTAAGGTTGGCGATAATTCCAGAGGAGCTAAAGGTAAGCATAATAAAGGGTTCTGTAGACAGATCATGTGACCAAAGCCGCTCCTGTTCACAAACTCTGGGTCAGAACCAGACCGGGACTTCCTGGATGCAGTTGGATGTCGATGGTTCTGATACGTAGCCGTCGCATGTCCCTGGCGGCCGCCGTAACAAACGGCAGCTTGATGACAGCAGCCATTAACATCGTTAGCGCCTCGTTAATACGTCACAAGTTACTTTAACTGCAGGATGACGTCACCAACACCAGTAGTAAGACGTTAGAAAATAAAATGTGATGCATCAATGTCGATTTCTCCGGTTTGAGCGAACAGCAGCTGCCGTTAGCCCCGAGTCACAAGCGTCGGTCTGATACCAATAGCAACTGCCCGTCTGCAGTTCGGTCCGGGTAGGAACAGGCGACCGTAAATCAGAAGTTCCGCTAGGGAGAACTCAGGAAAAAAAAAAAAGAAAAGAATAAATAACAAATCAAAATTACAGTCCGGCAGTTAGACACCTACTATGATTTTAAAAATTTAATAATTATGACAATACGTTTCTTATAATGACTTAGTTATTTAATAAATATGAGCTAATTCTTTATTATCTCATTATAATGAGACACTAGCTCATAAATATGAGTTAGCTAAGTCATACTTATGAGATAAAAAAACTTATTTTAAAACTAGAGTGGTGGGAATGGGCTTCAATAAAATGCAGTAGCTATTAGCTAATGATGTATGTTTAACATCTGGGCTTCAGAGCTGCTTCCTCTAAAGTGTGTGTGTGTGTGTATGTGTGTGCGCACGTGCGCGCTCTCTGTCTTCTCCATCCCCAGTGAGTCGTGGAGGATGGCTGCTTATACTGAGCCAGGATCCTCTGGAGGTTTCTTCCTGTTAAAAGGGAGTTTTCCTCTCCACTGTCGCTACATGCGTGCTTAGTATGAGGACTGCTGTGTTATTTTTTTAACTCAAATTTGTAATAATTTTTTTGTTTTATATTTTATAATTTTATGACTGTTTTTCAGATTTGAATTTATTTCTGTTTTCAGATCATTATGATTTTATGACCTTTTATTGGTTTTGTTTTGTTTTTGATCCATGTGAAGCACTTGGTGACTCTTGTCATGATTTGGCGCTACATAAATACACTGAACTGAATAGAAATAAACTCAGTGAGATTTAGTTGTGTTCCCTTGAACGCGTGCATGCACGTGTGTGTTTAACCTAGACCGGGTCTGGTGTAACAAACAATAAAAGCGGCTATTTAAAGGGAATTTTCACCCACTTCAAGTGACTTTATTATCAGTAATATATCTACAATAAGGATCCTTACCTGTAGAAAATATCACTCTAAGTGGTGGGAGTCTTTGGAAACTGCAAGAAGTCCTCTGGCCTGAGCAGATGAGATCACTGATGAAGCAGCTCTGAAGGCCCATGGTGTCCCTCAGGAATCTGTTCTTGGAACACTTATTTTCTCCCTGTAAAGGCTGCTTCTACCAAGTTCTGTGATCTGGATCCTGTAAACTGGTGGAGAGCTTGAGAGGGCAAGTTTGTGTCAAGAGCAGACAAGTGGTCCGAACTGAAGAAGAACCAGTGGCGTCTATCTTTTACCCCCCACCCCACCCCACCCTCCCTACCTCCATTTGTGCCAGAACAGCTGACAGCAAATGAAGACCAGCTGATCTATTTATAGTACCTCATATTTCAGTCTCAGACCGGCTCAGCCCCAGTCCTTCACGCCTCCACCTGTCGACCGGCCCGTTCCTCATGCCTGGCAGCCAAGCCCGGAGCCGGCCCAGAGACCGGAACAATGTCCTGAACCGGCCCGAGTTCATGTCCCTAAACCAGCCGCCTCGCAGAGAGCAGGTTGGGGGGGAGGGACGCGGCAGTGGGCCGAGGAGACCTGTGATCAGACAGCAGAGTCAGCAGGAAGACCCAGGAGGGAGGTAGGACCCCCGAGATTCTGCCTACCCTGTTCTCTGACGCTAGGACTTTAAATGGGCCGGTTCTGGACCTGGTTTCACTGTTCTAAAGGTCACGTGCAAAACTAGATTCTGGTTCCAGAGGGTTCTACAAGTCAGAAAGTTCAGTGGAACCTGCTTTCCGTCGAGTTCTAACATCCACTCTAACGCTAAAGCTGCCTAAAGGTCCAGTTGTTTCCTCACAGTGATCCAGTCTCATCAGAACCTCCAGCTGGACTGGAGCAGAAATCTTGTTTTGGTTCCATCTGATGTGAAAGTTTGATGTGAAACCGACATGAGCGCAGAAACAAACAAAACAACACACCACCGCGTTGTGGGAATGGAAGTTTTTCTCTAAGATTTCTTGATGCGTGTTGTTCCTCAAAAGCTTTTAATCTGAAACTTTCAGCACAAAGATCAGTGTTCTGATGACATCAGGTGGGACAGCTGCTTGCCCCGGTCATGGGTTGTATGATCTGGTGAAGCAGGTCAGACTTTTGACTCTTTTTGGCCCTTAGGGGTCGTGAATCCTCTGATGGGAGCCAAGCAGCTGACGGGGGTCCCAAGGAGGCCTCCCGCTGGCCGGAACAGGACTGCATGCAGCTGAACCCGAGCTTCCGGGGAATCGCCATCAACTCTCTGCTCGCCATCGACATTAGCCTTTCTAAACGTCTGGGTATGTGTGTTGGAGCTCACGGCACCGGCGCCCCGCTGCGTCCCATGGTGACCCTGCTGGCCTTAACAGGACACGCCCTCCCCTGGATCTGTGGGACCCTGATCTGTCTGTGGAGGAGCAGCACCCTGGCTGGACAGGAAGTCCTTGTTAACCTGCTGATGGGTAAGACCGCAGAGAGACAGACGGGTGACCTGTGCATATCTAGTCTCTAACACCTGTCTGCCTCTCCACAGCCCTGATCCTGGACTTGATGACAGTTGCTGGGATACAGAAGCTGGTGAAGCGTAGAGGACCCTGGGATTTCCCCCCTGGGCTTTTGGACTATGTTGCCATGGATACGTATTCTTTCCCAGCAGCCCACGCGAGCCGCGCTGTCATGGTGGCTAAGTTCTTGTTGAACCATCTGGTTCTGGCGGTCAGTACATAGCTTTCTCTGGAGCTCAGTGTTTGAGTCCCTTTGTGAACCTGATCCAGGTCATCCCCTCGTCTGTCCTGCAGGTGCCCTTGAGGATCCTGCTCTACCTGTGGGCCTTCCTGGTGGGCGTTTCTCGGGTGCTTCTGGGTAAACACCACCTGTCGGACGTGGGCTGTGGTTTTGCTCTGGGCTTCCTGCACTTCAGTCTGGTGGAGTCGGTTTGGTTGGACTCAGCCACGTGTCAGACCCTCGTCTCCATCGGGACCCTGCGCTGGACTCCACTGCTTTAGAGCCAGGTTGGACCGGTTCTGCTGGGGCTACTCCAGTTTGAACTGGTTTTTTATTGATGCCTGATCTCATCGACACGAGCTGTACTGGATGTAACTGGTTTAGACTGGAACAAACTGGTTCAGAGTGATGTAAGCTGACCTGATCTGGACACCTTTGGAGTGGTTCATCCGGGTCAAAAAGGGTCCGTCAGGATGTTCGTGACACCCTACAGATGATGAGTGGGTTAGACCACTTTCGACTGGTTTGAAGTGGTTTTTATTGGATAATAAAGTTTTTGTTGACTCTGAACTGGTTTGGTCTGGATCATCATCCTTCGGATCATTTGAGGCTATAAACTTAGATCCTCAGTTAGCCGGTCTGGGCAGGTTCAGGCCAGCTCTAGTTCAGACATGACTGAACTGGTCTAGACCGGACCACTCTGATGAACCAGAGCTCTGTAATGAAAGGAAGATCCAGTTCAGGTATGTCCCGGTTCAGACGTGTTTATTGGAGCTTTTTTGTTTTTTTGCTGTTATCCTGAATAGCTAAAAATAAAGATGAGACAAAATGGCCGCTTTTGTTCTGGAATAGTTTGAAGTTTTTATCTTAACCTCAAAATTGGATCAACAAATAAAAAAATAATAAGTAGTGCTTCGGGGTCTGGAGGTTACACCCGCATCTCACTCATGTTCTGGACTGGTTTGGTTCTGATTCGGTACTCTTTCAGTTCTGTGGTCCTTATTTTTTTCAGTAAGAAATACAGTGAAAACACAAACATTTCAGATGCCAGCGAATCAGATCAAAGAGAAAAACCTTTATTTTGAAGAGCTTTTAATCACGGAGAGAATCAGATTAAACTAAAGGCTTTTATTTTGAAAAGCTTCAAATCACAGAGAGAATCAGATTAAAACTCAAGGCTTTTATTTTGAAAAGCTTCAAATCACAGAGAGAATCAGATTAAAACTCAAGGCTTTTATTTTGAAAAGCTTCTAATCACAGAGAGAATCAGATTAAAACTCAAGGCTTTTATTTTGAAGTTGCTCCATGTTGAAAGAATCTAATTAAAAATTGAGGCTTTTATTTTGTAGCTTGATGGAAACCCTTAGAAATAATAGCACAGGTTTTCTTCGACGCCTTTGTTTCCAGTGTTCAGGTTCTTCTCGATGACCTCCACCCCGGCTCGTACGTACGGCTGAATGGCTGTGTGGTCCAGGACCAGGGTCACAATTTTGATGGGGTCTTTGCCGCACTCGTTCTTCTTGAACCACAGGAACACAGGAACTCCACCTCCTGTGCCCTGGTTCAGGTTTGTAGGCACCTTCTCATAGTACTGGTTCTCGTAGCTTTCCACGGACTCTGCGTCGATGGAGATCTGCAGATCTTTGATGGCCCTCTGAATGTTAGTGGTTTGGCGGTACCAGAGGAAGATGAAGGGCCCACCAGCTCCTCTGTTGGTGTCCTCGTCCACCCGAACGTAGCCCTGGCGGAACAGGTTGGCATCTTCCTCAAAGCCAGCGGTGGCGGTGACGTCACAGATGTACACTTGGGTCTGTCTCTTCACCCACATGTAGATCCACTTTCCTCCAGCGGTCCGGTTCAGATCGCAGGCCAGTCGCTCCCACAGAGGCTGGAACTTTCTGGCATCATCTGCAGCTTCAGCGGAGAAGTCCAGTTCTACGATGGGAATGTCGTATTCAGTGGAACCTTTGAAGAACCACAGGTAGATGGGACCACCTTTATTTCCATTGTTGAGGTTTTTATCGATCTTGTGGTAGCCTTCGGTGGTCAGACCCTTACTCATCTCATGGTTGAAGGAAAACTGGATCCTGGTGATTGCTGGACAGTCGCTGGTTTCGTACCAGAGGAAGATCGGGGCCCCGTCAGCGCCGGAGTTCAGGTCTGTGTGGATCTGGAGGAAGCCATGTTTACGCAGGTGGGTCTCTTCATCTTTGTTCAGAGAAACATCAATGTCTGTGATGTACTTTGCCATCTCGAGTTTCTGCATCAGACCACAGACAGACAGTCACGAACCAGATCTCAAAGCCAGAACTAGATGATGAGAACTGATTCCAGCAGCAAACCAGAACAAGAATATAAACAATAAAGAACAGCTGTACGTTTCACAGAAACATCAAATCCTAAAGTCCGGAAGAAGACTTACGACTCTGCAGACAGGATTCAGGATGGATGCTCCTGCCCCTTCAGCAGGACCTTAAATAGGACAGGATGCGAAACTGAAACTGGATCTGCTGAACCTGCTGATTAGAACCAAGAATGAACTACGTGGTTCTGCTTTGTGGGTCTGGGTATGCCAGAATCAAATCATGGCACATTGTGAGAAAAAGGAAGTCCAGTTAAATGCATATGCAGCAGTTCAAACCCTCACTTATACAGAACCATCACAGACTCGAGACTGGTCTGGCTCAGAACTGACCCCCACAGACCCAAACCCCTCAGAACTGACCCCTATAGATCCGAATCAGACAGCTGGTACCAATCAATCAATCAATCAATCAATCAATCAATCAATTAAAAAAAACTCAAAGGTCTCTAAAACAACATGAAACAGACTAAAGTAAAAGTATCAAAAAGTGAGAAAATCAACAAAACCACAAGAGTTCTTGCACGTCTACAGGTATTCTGGACCACTCCTCATGACGAAACTGCTCCAGCCACCTCAGAACTGAGGGTTCCATGTCCAGATGTCTACAGACATGGACATGGACATGATCTGGATACATGGAGTATCTGTGAAGAACCTAGGTTCTTCACAGATACTCAGTGAGTCCTGGTCTGGACAGCTTTGTCTCATATGTCCTACGGACATTCTACCAGTGGCTCTGAGGATCATCAGCCTGCATTTAGATGGACCCAGGTGCATTTATAGGATTTGATTCCAACAGTGGTGTCCTCCTTGGTCGTCTTCCATTAAAGGCAGGGTCCGTAAGATTTAAATGGGAAATAACTTTGAAAATGTTTAATTTTGACCATCTGACCTAGTTTTATTTAAAAAAGTAAACAATCTTTAATATTTCAATTTTCTCCTAAGTCCCTCCCCTGCCCTGTAGAGCTCGTGCACGGACGACCCAGCGACGCGATCCCAGAAAGTTGAAACATTTTCAACTTTTCATCGCTGTCGCTCGGGCGAGGACCAATCAACGGAGGTTTCATTCACTGACCAATGAGCGGACAGGATGCTCCGTACATCTCCGAGCAAACATGGAGGAGAAGTTGATTATTAATATGTCTTATAGTAAAATCAGAAGTAAGATTACACATAACTACAGCAGCACCTTGTGAAACATCATATCTACCGCTTAATTAACTTTGAACCGCTTAAATAACCTTAATTCCCTCCAACCTGACACAGCCAAACAAAACAACGGAAGTTTTGATTTCGCCATGGAACAGAACGCGTAGACGGTTTTGCCGCTGGCCGCTGCTGCGGATCGCCTCCCGTGTGTCAGGAAATAAAAGCGACAGCGACAAATTTCGCTGATCGCGGTCGTTTGTCACCTCCCGTGTGTCGAGCCCATAAGTCTCCACCAGTCTCCACTGGGAGGACAGTGACTTCCCGATCAAGCTGTTAAGGTCAGTTCAAGCGGGTCTGATTTATCAGTAAAACACTCCCATGGGAAACTGTCGAGAAGCTGCTTGTTGATTCAGTGTGCACCTGGAGCTGAGAACTCCCTTCGCTAGCAGCTTCCCGCCTGATGGTCTACGTAATAGTCTTAGGAATGTGATTTATGTGTGTGCTTCAAAAAATGCTGTCGGAGGATTTCGGTCCGATGAGAGTGAACTGAGGTCCTTGCTTGGTGTGTATTCATTCCTCTCCACTTTGCAAAGTCTACATTGATTGTTTATAATTGGTATTGGTGTTGACTGGTTATTGCTATAACCCCCGGTGTATTAAACTTTCCCTAAGGTAACCCTGGATTGATAAATACTTACCAAACAGAAAGTTCTCATTTTATTTTTTCATCTACAAAGGTCACTGCAGGTCATGTGGGATCAAAACCAAAGGTGAACTCAGCAGAACGTCTCTTCCTGAATTGGTCGTGTGAAAGCAGATGTCTTTGATCTTCTGCTGTCAGAGCGAAAGCTGACTGTAAGTTCCCCTAAACGGCTCAGATGACTCCAGCCCATCAGCTGATTTATGCTGTTTTACTTTCTGTGAAGCCAATCAGAGAAGTGACCCTTCTGAGGGTTTTGGGTTAATCGGGCTGAAACGGGATCGAGGCTCTGCCTTACTCCTCCGGACTCAGATGTTCCCAGAACTCTGCTCTGAGGTGAGTGAGACAGAAGAAATGTTGCTGACTTTCCCAGATTCAGAGGAGACCCTCCCCCTGCACAGCCAAGACATTCTGAATCCATGAACAACCTGAGAACCAAGTCCTCTTGCTGTGATGGAGTTGCTGTAGAGGAAGAACTGGCTTAAACATCGCTACAGTGTCCTCCAGTCGGGATTATGACCTCTGATTGTGATCCCTGGACAGACTGGAAACTATTGGAATCACAAACACTCCTTTAAACTGGTTTAACCGTACTCAGTTTGTTCAATTACAATCACGGCTTAGTCCGTGTCCACTCCTGTCACATCTGGTGTTCCCCAAGGTTCTGTCCTGGGGCCTCTTCTATTTATTATCTATCTTCTTCCTCTTGGAAAATTTTTCCATAAATTTAATATAAATTTCCATTGCTATGCAGACGACACCCAGCTCTATTTCTCTACAACACCCCTTCTTTCTTGTCTTACTTTAAGGTGAGTCTCATGAAAGGCGCCTAAAAATAAAATCAATTATTATTATCTCAAGCCAAAGTCTTCGGAGACTCCAGCCCACCCAGAGCTCAGATCATCCAGAATACAGCAGCAACGCTCCTGACTGGTGCCGTTCAGTTCAGGATCAATTTCAAAATTCTGCTTCTTGTATTCAAATCGTTGGACAGTCCGGCTGTTGAGCGATCTCCTCCATTTCTACCACCCTCATGCTCTGAGGTCTGCAGCTCCTCCTCACCATCCCTGAGGCACTTTTAACGACCCGCCGGGTAGGGGCTTTTTCTACCTGTGCCCCAAAACTGTGGCACTCACTACCTCTCCAGGTCAGGCAAGCGCCCTCTGCTGCTGCTTTTAAATCACGCCTGAAAACACGCAACTTCTCCCTGGCCTTTACCTCCGAAACCATAAAGAATTCACTCACGCTTTGACATCTTTCTTTCCACCTTGGTTGTTCAATTTTAAATCTGTAGATTAGAATTTTGTGGCAAATTTTGTTCTTTTTCATTTATTTTATGTCATTTGACTATTTTGTCTGTGTGGGTTAGGGTTATGTCATGTAATGCTGTGCTAAGGGCGCTCTAGTGATCAAGCGTTATGGTATAGAGTCCTGGTCAGACTGAGGAGATGGGGCCATGTCACTTCAGGTCTTCATTTAAACTTTATCCCCTCTCTTCTACCTGGACTGAATGGCCCTTGAGAGAGGGCCATTCACCTCCTGCTCCCTGGCTTCCTCCTACAGCGCCCCTGGGCATTTGGTCATAAGCTGTCCCCAAATCTATATAAACACGTGTGGACTGGTTGGGCAAACTCCCTTACCCCTACAGCACGTAAGCAAGGCTCAAGAGCTGGTCTACTATTCTGCAGCCAGTACCAGAGCCACATTGCTCCTGCTCCCGAAGTCATTAGAGAACTCTACCTCCATCTAGCATTGGTCAGTCCTCATTCCAGAGTTCCTTCTCACTATGGTAACAGACTTCACCAGCTCACACACAGCCTTCAGTTTCTCCGGAGCAGCTGGTAGAAGCAACGTTTACTTCCTGTCATGAAATCCAAAGAAAGTCTGGAACCCTTTCACTGATCCAGTGGGGGAACCAGAGTGTTTCCTGAACACACCTGTACTAACTCTTGGTATTTTGGAACCTGAATCGAAAAGCACAAGTTAAGTTACGGACATGTGGGAGGTTTGTTTATCTAATAATGATCCGAACGGATCGAACGTGGATCAGAGTCCAGAGGTTGGACGTTTGTAACTGGTCTGACGTGCCGGTGCAGTGCTTTATTTGGCCACAAGAGGGCACACATCTTTATTGAGGGCTTATTTGTCTTGAAGTCCAAACAGCTGGAAGACCCAAAGCCCCGAGGTGATAATGCCAGTCCACAGTTACTGGGGCCCAGAACTGCTGACCTCTGACCCCTGTGTTTCCATGACAACGTCTCCCTTTGTCCTCAGGTGTTCTGGAAGAGGTCAGGTGTCTGTGTGGATGGAGGAGATCCTATCAATGGACTGCAGGAGCTGAGAAACCAAACGGAGCGTCTCCGCCTCACTGAGGAGCTGTCTGAGTGCGCGTGCACACACACACACACACACACACACACACACACACACACATTATTTTAATGTTACCATGTGTGTATGTCATGTGTGTAACTGCACTGACTGGATGGAGGAGTGGGCGTGGTTCGCCGTCTTATCCAGGTACTCTGAAGCCGCCTGAGCGTTCTGTCTCATATTCGTGATGATCCGAGACTCCGCTGCCTTCAGACCGTTGTTCTCTGATCTCAGAGACTCCGCCTCCACCTGAAACGCGCATAAACACACACGTGCCTTTCTGGTTCCGTCAGCCATTTTTAAGCTTAGTAACAACTTTCAAACCAAAACACCGACAGGTGGCGGGTGGGGTCAGGGGTCAATGACTAAAACCTCCATCGATCCCCACTCCCACCTCACAGTTTATTTATGCAAAACATTGTTTACATCACCGCTGTGTTTAATTATTGTTCATCTGATGTTTTTATTGGCTGTGATATTGTTTATTGTTGGTGCTGATAAATAAATCTCACCTGGAGCTGCTGAAGCTCCGCCTTCAGTCTGGAAACGCTGTTCTCTGCTTTCACCGCTCGCCTCTAACACACACACACACACACACACACACACACACACACACACACACACACACACACACACACACACACACACACACACACACACTGAATAACAGTATGTTTAAATGAAATATTTGTGCTTAAACCAATGAATCTGAAATGAATGTTGTTGTTACAATGATCCATTTATGTCACAAACCAACTTGTGTTTGATTTAACAAGTTAATCATCATCTACCCTCATACACATCTTCATGAGATACTAATTAAGGTTAAGGTTCACCTCACACAAGTGTGTTAAGCCGTTCTTATTCACAGTGTTAAGAATCTTCTATTTGAAGAGGGCGTGGCTTTCTGAGGGATGTTGGTAAACACTCGGAAACGTGTCAAATTCTGATTGGCTAAACTTGGCCAGAAATCATCACAAAGTAGTTTAATAAAACAGGATTTACTTCCCGAGTAACTCCGTTTCCAGCTGAACCCCGATTCGGCCAATTCGGGAAAGGAGCACTTTTGAATCCATCTTCTCCTTTGACCTCCTGTCAAAGCCCCTCTGCAACGCTGCGGCTGATGCCGGACAACCGGCTCTTCTAAGAGCCAAACATCAACCTTACCCCGGCTTTCCACCGGAGCCGTCAGCAGCGCGAGTCGGCCGCGTCTCAGGAGCAGCATGTCGCGGCCCTTACGCGCCGGTTCTATTTTCTACGCGCGACGCCTCTGAAACGGGTCAAGTTCGACATTTTTGGGGAAGGAAAGACAGGAAATCGGACGCGGAAATGGAGAGAAGCCACCGAGATTTTCAGAATAAAGAACGTACTGCCTTGCGGTTGCTTTACTTTTAAAAAGGTTACTAACTGTGTGTCCCCGTGAGAAGTTATCACCTAGCTAGCGGTCTCCTTTGTTTTTCAGGTCCGTATTGGCGATTATAAAACGGACAGAACATAAAACACGAACCATGTTGTAGTTTTCTCCTGCTTGTTGTTGTGTTTACTGACGAAGTCACTCGTGTGACTTCGTGCTCGGTCGGTGACAGCTGCTCCCCTGCTGCTTCGCGTCTCGTGGGAAGGGCCAAGCAGCAGCTTACGCGAGCAAGACGTGCTGCTGCAGTAACGTGCTGCTGACGGCTCCTGTGGAAAGCCGGGGTTAGACGTAAATAAGCGTTCCCGCTTCCTGCCTTCACCTGTAGGGATCTCAGACTGGACGGGTGCTATCGGAGAGGTCTACGGGTTCCTGATATCAGACCGGCAGTGACCATCGACCCCACCGGATCGAACGAGAACCTCCACACCAAGGGTGCGTGGACTTGGCACGACAGATTGCATCTGATGCCGTTTTTAAAAAACAACTCTCGTTTATAACCAAACAACAAATTATTTTACACCCAGATTTCACATTTTCTCTCAGACACAAAGAGCGGTTGCTGCAACGTCTAGCTTCCACCACACCACATTATTCATATCTTGTCATGTATAAATTA